GACATTCCCTGTATCCGGGGCGGGGGCTAAGGGATAACAGGAGAAGGTGCGAGCTCGCTACTCCTGTTCTGTGTATGGCACTGGTAGAATTCACTGTGCAACCCCGCGGTCAGTGAATTACCATAGGGCCATAAACAGAGCAGAGACAGACCCGCGAGCGCCACGGGGCCACCACCACCACCACCACCACCACCATCCATCCATCCATCCATCCATCCATCCATCCATCCCCTCGCCCGCTTTGGCACTAGCACATTTTTGCTTCTGTTTGTAGCCTTTGAGCAATTATGTGTAGTGCCAATATGGGAGAGGGTGGAGAGAGCAGCACCAGGGGGGAGATGGACACGGGTGGGCATCGGTGCTGGGCGGTGGGAGCGGCGCAAGGATGCTGAGGGATGGTGGGAACCAGCCCGGTATTGATGTCAGACCCCATCCATGGGTGCTGTGCCCATCCCAGTGTGGTGCCCCAGCCTATGGAGGCATCTAGGCCATGTCCCCATGGTGGTTGTCACAAGCAGGATGGGATCCTTGCTCCTTCTCCGCTCTTGGACCACACTGCTGGCATCTCCATGGGGTTGAGCCGAGCATCCCCATGCTGGGGCCATGAATGGGGGTTTCTGGCTATGGGGGGTGGAATTATGTGTTTTTCCCTATTTCTTGCAGCTTTCCAGGCCTGGCACCGTGTCCGTGTCCCCCCCCCTCCCCATTCCCCACACTGAGACCCGGCTGCGGAGACGGGGCCGGTGGTGCCTGGCCCTGGGGCTGCCTTTGGCAATGGTAGAACTCACACTGGTGCGGTAGCAGGATCCGGTGGTTCTAGACTTGCCAACTACAGCCCTGGGGAACCGCCGCGGACATGGCCCCCCCCCCGGCACCCATGGGTGCAGCTGGGCACCCTGTGCACCCCAAACCCACCTACCCATGGGTGCTGCCGGGCTGGGCTGGATGGGTCCTGATCCATATGGATGTGAGGGGATGCAGTGGGTGTTTGGGCATAGGTGATGGTGAGCATCCCCCATGGAGGGGATCCGGCATCCCGGTGTCTCCATGGATGGAGACAGGGATCTGCCAGGCACTGGTCATTGGAGCAGCGCAGCCACGTGTCCCTGTGTGACTCCAGGCATTAAGGGCTGATCCGGCTCCATGATGTGGGCAGGGCAGCTGTGGGGGGGATTAGGGGTGTCCAGCTCCTATCCCCAGCCCTGGATCCAGCCCCTGGTCCTGGATCCATCTCTGACCCAGCCCCCTGTTGCTGGTGAAATGGGGGAACCAAGGCACCACTGAAGCAGCTGCCACGTGTCCCTGGTGCAGGAGGGACGGGGACAGGGTTTGGGGGGAACAGGGATAGTGTGGGAAGAGGCTGACACATTGGGGGGCTCTGCACCCCCCCCATCGGGATGCGGCTGTCGGGATATGTAGGGCAGTGCTGGGTGATTACGGGGCTTTCAGCATAAGCCCGCGGAGATTGGATCACGCTGGATTAGGCTCCAATCATCCTCCTGCACCGGGGGGCGGGAGGGATGCAGGGATGGGGGTCTCCATCACCCTCCCGGGGAAGGTGGGAGGGATGGTGGGGGTCACAGGCTGATTGTGTGTCTGTGTGTGGGGTCATCGATCCTCTTGTAGGGTCAGCCAGGCACCCGGCCGTCCCTCTGTCTGTCTGTAGCCATTGAACCGTCCGTCTACCCATCTGCCTGTATATGCAGCCACTCACCCACCCGTCCGTCTGTCCAGGCAGACAGCTATTGCTCCATCTACCGGTTTATCTGTCCATCTGTGCATCCATCCATCCATCCATCCATCCATCCATCATCCATCCATCCATCCATCCATCCATCATCCATCCATCCATCCATCCATCCATCCATCCACTGGTCTGTCCTGTAGATATCTGTCCATCCATCCATCCATCCATCCATTCATCCATCCACCCATCCACTGGTCTGTCCTGTAGATATTCATCCATCCATCCATCATCCATCCATCCATCCATCCATGTATCTGTCCATTCACTGGTCTGTCCTGTAGATATCCATCCATCCATCCACTGGTCTGTCCTGTAGATATCTGTCCATCTATCCATGAATCCATCCATCCATCCATCCATCCATCCATCCGCTGGTCTGTCCTGTAGATATCCATCCATCCATCCATCCATCCATCCATCCATCCATCCATCCATCCATCCACTGGTCTGTCCTGTAGATATCCATCCATCCATCCATCCATCCATCCACTGGTCTGTCCTGTAGATATCCATCCATCCATCCATCCATCCATCCATCCATCCATCCATCCACTGGTCTGTCCTGTAGATATCCATCCATCCATCCATCCATCCATCCATCCATCCATCCATCCATCCACCCACCCATCCATCCATCCATCCATCCATCCATCCACCCATCCATCCATCCATCCATCCCTCTCCCCAACCAGCCACTGCCCCACCTCCCTGCTGTCTCTCTGTCCATGCCTCCTTCCCCCCAGTGCTGGGCTTAACCCCCCCAATGGACTCAGCAATGGGGGGGGAATGGGTGGAGCATCCCCCAAGCCCCACCCCCCAAAGCACCACCCCCTTCCCAAAGGCTCCACCCCCAAATGGGGGCACCCCCAATACCCCCCATGGGTCAAATCCTGCCATTTGGGGCCTATCCTAAAGCAAAGCAGTGCTGGGATGGGTTTTTTTTGGGGGGGGGGGTAGGACCCCCCCTTAGTGGCCGGGGTGGGGAGAGGAGCAGGACCCATCCCCAGCAGCCTCTTCCCAGCTGGGACATGGGAAGCTGGAGGGAGGGAGCCCAGCGGGAGGCCCCGACCTGCTTATTACAGAGATTAACAGAGATTAGAGCCTTGTGGCAGCGTCTGCTGCTCCCCCCCCCCAGTACTGCCAGATCTGGGGCTCTTTGGGGCACCCCAGCACGGGCAGGGATGTCCTGGGGTCCCCAGGGGTGCCTCCCATCAGATTCAGCATCTTTAATGTGCCAGGACATTGAGCTCGGATGGGCATTGGCTCCCTGTTTGGTCAGGGATGCCCATAATACAGACACGTTCACCTTCTCCTTCCTTCTGTCCATCTCTCTGGCCTTCCTCTGCTCTCTTCCTTGCCCCAGGCTATAAGAAGTCCCTGTGCTGGAGCACTGATGCTGCACCCACGTTCAAATAAAGCTGCTGAAACCCATCACTGCCTCCCCTGCTCCTCCTTGGGTTTGAACCATGGAATGGTTTGGGTTGGAAGGGACCTTAAAGCTCCTCCAGTCCCAACCCCAAGCCACGGGCAGGGACCCCTTCCACTGGAGCAGCTTGCTCCAAGCCCCTGTGTCCAACCTGGCCTTGAACACTGCCAGGGATGGGGCATTCCGAATAACACATCCTAGGTCGCTGGTGAGAGCATCTGGGCTGAAAATGGAGGAATTCAACCCAAAAGCTCAGCCCTTGGTGGGAGCACAACGGGGATGCTCAAGCACCCCCATGGTTCCCACCCAGCCCCAGGTTGCTGCTGGAAGAGTCAAAAGGAATGGGATAAAGAAAGGATCAAGCCCCCAAATCATCCCATTGTGCTCCAGCCCAAACATCATCAACGTGTGGAGCACTGGGGTGGGGGGCGGGGGTGCAGGACCAGCCCCAAAACACCCACCAGGGATGGAGGGGATGGCAGAATACATCAAAACCCCTTAAACCACCCCAAAAAGAGGAGAGGTGGAGGCAGGGGTAGACACAGTTGTAACAATTTATTGAATGAAGCAATAACAGACACTGGAAAAACAAAGGGGAGGGGACGGGGGGGGGTCCATGCTCTGCTACTTGCCTGGTTTGTGCCTCTTTGTGGGGAGGGCAGGGGGACAAAGGGCATCGTTTCATCGCCAAAGGAACACTGGACTTGGGAAAGCCACCGACATCTTCACAACGACAATAGAAAAATAGTCATTCCCAAAGAATTCCACACGGGAGGGCACCCATGGGGAGAACCAGGATCCCCCTTCCCCCTCGTCGAACAGCACGGAAGGGACGTATACAAAGGATGTTTAAGGGATCGCTTCTTTTTGTCCATAGAAAACAAGGGAATACAAGAAAACCTGAAAACTCCCTCAAAGGCGGAGCGGGATGGGGAGGAATCCGTTAAAGGGCACGTGGAAAGAAAACTTTAACCCCCCCCCATAAAGAAAACCCGACTCCAGAATTAAATAAGATGCACAACTCCATGAGTGTGTGTGCGGGGGGGGCTGCGGCTGAGGAAGATCCATTGGGATGGGTTTGGCCTATGGGAACGTTAAGTAAAGATACCCCCCCCCCCCCAAATATCCCCTCCAAAGGCCTATGGAGAAGTTTTGGGGCAATGGGGATTAAAAGTCCTTTAGAGATGCACAAAAGGCAGGAGGAGGGATAGGTTGGAAGGTTGGGGATGGAAAGGGGTCTCCCAAAGGGAAAGGGCTGTGCTCATAGCCCCCCCATGACCTTCAAGGGAACCTTTTCCTGTGGGAATCAGACTCTCTGGGGATGGGAAGGGAGGATGTGGGGTCCTGGGGGGATAACGGGGACTGGGATGAGCCCAAGGTGGCTCTTTGGCGAGGGAAGCGCTGGGACGGCGCTGGGCAAGCAGGGAAGAACGCAGCCGGAGCCCCTCCAGAGGCGTTCCCACTCGGGTTCAGATCCACAAAAAATGGGCAATAATAATAATAATAATAACAATAATAATAATAATAAAGGAAAGAAGAAGATGGACAATGGCAGGTACGCTCCGAGAGCAGAGAGTAAGGACAAGGTCTCCAGTGTGCACCAAGGGGAGCCGAGCGGAGCACGGCGAGGGGAGGGTGGCATTCCGCTGGCTCCTGGAAGAGCATCACCCCTTCCCGAGGCTGCCGCCCCCCTGCAGTCACACATGCGTTCCTTTACGTTATCCCAAGAGAGGAGCCTTTTCCCAAAATATTTTCCTTTTCCATATTTTTTTCTTTTCTGGTGGTTATTTCATTTTGCTTTCATTATAAAAGTCCACGTTAAAATCGTTTGAAATCTAATTTGTCCGGTGCAGAAGGCCGTGCCCGGGAGCAGCTTCGGCTGAGGGTATCCACGTTCCCCCTCCACGCCTCATCCTGCTGCATCCCATAGTGGGGAATTAGGGAATAAGGGGCTTGTTTCCTTTCGGTTTACATCTCCTCGCAATGAAAAGTCCCATCACAATTTGGCTTCTCGCTCCTACGAGAGCAGAGCGGCGCTGTGAAAACACATTTTACACACAGATTATTCCTGTTTTCACGGGTTTTTCCTTTTTTTTTTTTTCATCCTTTTTTTTTTCTTTTCCTTTAAAAAAAGAAACAAAAAAAAAAGCTAACAAAACCTCAAACCCTTCGCTTCCAAAGCTGGAGACTCGATGCCACCTCATTGCATCTCTGGAGAGGCAGAAAAAACTTAAAGTCGCATTGAGAGACGAGGAAAATCACCGTGACGCCGGCTCGGGGAACATCACTGTTCCAAGGTGACCACTTCCACTGCCTGCCCGTCCACGGTGACAGCACTGTCCCCTATCCTTGTGGTAACGGGGGCCATCGCCACCTGAACGGGGCCGTTGCCTTGGGCCAGGCTGGTCACCACGGTCTGGTACATGCTGACGGGGATCTGGACGAGACCTGAGGAGACAAGAGAAGGAAACTGGTTGGGAGGGAAGGAACAGAGCCGGGGGGGGGGATGAGGCTGATGTGGCCTTGAGCTGAGGTCCCAAGGGGTTTGGAGGATGCGTTCGTGCTGCTCCAGAGGTGATCCTGTGGATTGTTGGAGTCCTGCATCCAGCACTGGGGGCAACAACATGGGGAGCTGTTGGAGCAGTGCAGAGGAGGCCATGGAGATGCTGCGAGGGCTGGAGCAGCTCTGCTCTGGAGCCAGGCTGAGAGAGCTGGGCTGGGGCAGCCTGGAGAAGAGAAGGCTCCTGAAGGGGAGACCTTAGAGCAGCTCCAGTGCCTAAAGGGGCTGCAGGAAAGCTGGAGAGGGGCTTGGGACAAGGGCCTGTAGGGACAGGCCAAGGGGAATGGCTTGAACCTGCCCGAGGGGAGACTGAGCTGAGCTCTTAGGCAGAAGCTCTTCCCTGTGAGGGTGCTGAGGCGCTGGCACAGGGTGCCCAGAGGAGCTGTGGCTGCCCCATCCCTGGCAGTGTTCAAGGCCAGGTTGGACACAGGGGCTTGGAGCAAGCTGCTCCAGTGGAAGGGGTCCCTGCCCATGGCAGGGGTTGGAACTGGAGGAGCTTTGAGGCCCCTTCGAACCCAAACTCTTCCATGATTCTATGATTCCTACTCCTATATTACCTACCTGTACCGACCACTGCCTTTGGCTTGGCAAAGCTTGATTTAGACAAGTGAACCTCTAAAAGCCACCTTGTACATGACATTATCCAAACTATCCCCACCTCTGCTGGGGGAACAAAACAGCATTTAGAGGTCACCGAATCCTTCCAGGCAGCAGCACTGGATGCCCAGCCTTGAAACAGCACTGAAATGGTTTAAAACAGCAGGTTCCTGACCCAGCATTCCCAAAGAAGCAGTCCAATCTCTTTTGATTCAGGTTTCTGTGGCAGAGAGCAGGCTCTGTCCTGCCAAGGGCACTCGTTTAATATCCCAAGCTTGGTGTCCTTAGATAACTTCCAGTACAGACAGGAAAGCTTATGAGTTAATCATGCTGACCAGGTGGGTGACCCCAGCAGAGCACAGTGAGCTTTGGAGCCCTTCAGCATCCCTCCTCTCGGGATCTCAAAGCACCCTGAGGGCTGGGAAATGTCAGGATCCACCCAGCCAAAGGGCTGCCCTACACCAGGAGATCCCCAAACCATGTTTGTGCAGTTCATGGCCCAATGGAGGAATTGCTTTCCTGGTGGGATGGTTCAGCACTGACTGCTACGAATGGTGTGGAGTCTGAAGGTGACAAGGTCCCATGGTGATTTCCAATAGATGGGAGTTTCAGGCAATGAAACACTGAAATGAGCTCACACTCAATCCTCCTGAAGAAAATCTATATCAGACCCTTCAATGAAATAAAGCACATCCTGGCTGAAGGAGATGCTGGCACAGATATGGGGATCTGGTCTGGAAGGCACCTAAAATCCCCGCTCCAGACCAACAACCCAACTAAGCCCTTTGGGTTACCTGCATCGCTAACCTGAAGGAGACTGCTGGAGCTCTCAAATGAGTCTACTCCCCATGGCCAAGCCAAAGAGCAGAGTCACCACAGAGTGTGCAACCTGAAAAGCCTTATCCCTGCATGCTCTTCACACACATTGAACACTGGCCAGGGGAGGGATGCTGCCAAAGATGGGTTCTACCAAAAGATGGTGAAGATGTGAAGACCCAGTGGGGGTCTTCTTTGGAAAGGATGAGTTCATGCTCTAGTGGAAGGTGCCCCTGCCCATGGCAGGGGTTTGGGACTGGGTGAGCTTTAGGGTCCCTTTCCAACCCAGACCATTTTAGGATTCCGTGATTGCCGTTACCCAAGGTTTGGCACATCTTGAGCGCACGGGAAAGTAGCGAAGTCTCGGTGAGAGACAGCAACACGCAGCTCCCTTTCTGCATGGGATTAAACTAAATCGCCTCAGCATCTGACGTAGCAGCCTTCCTGCCAGGGGTGGTGACAACCCAAAGGAGGAGAGGGCTGCAGAGTCTGCTGTGCACTAAAGCAGAGCTGATCGCCCTTGGGAGAGAGACGATTAAAGCACTGAGATGCTGTAATCAGGCCTCGGATTGGCCCTGCACTGCATCTGCTCAGACCTGCACCCTGATTAGCCCTAATCTAGCTGGCATATGTTAATCTAAAGCATGGATTTCAGACCCTTTCAATTGTATTAAAACCAGGAAATCCATTAGACAATAAAACCCCCAACTTCTTGAGTCTTTGAAGAACAAAGAAAGTGGAGCTGGGAACAGGGAAACACAAGAGAACCAAGTCAGGGAAGAGGGATCCCACTGGATCCCACACAGCTCCTCCCGCAGCAGACGTGATGAAGCGCATGCCAAGCGGAACTGATCGTGGCCACAGGCTCCTGGCAAGCAGGAAGATGCAGCCAGGCTGTGTGTTTGCTTCCCCCTTCATGAAGCCACCCTAAAAGTCCATGTGTGAGTGGTGGGCAAGACATGAAGCCCACCCAGGCATCTCTGTCCCCTCTGAATCACCCGTTCCTGGCCATCACCATCACCTACCTGCCAATACTTGGCTTTGACAAGGATGAGGAGCCAGCACCAAGGTCCTGCACTTCACTTACCTGCAGTGTGCCAGGTAAGTTGGTGGAGGATCAGCTGGCTTTGCTGGGAAAGGAGGCTATGGCATGGCCATCACTGCCTGGAAGCCATGGAGTGGAATGGGTGAGAATCCAAGGCTGTGGCAGGCCTTAGGGGTTGAGATAGCCACCACGAATCAAAGGATTAGAGACGGCTGTGGCTGGACTCGAATGCTGGGTCAGATCATGTTAGTGGCTGCATTTTAGCTGGGGGCCTGTGACAGCTGTAGGAGATAATGAAACTCCTGCTGTTTCAGCAGAGAAGACATTAGAGCTCACAGGAGAAGAAAGGTAAGGGTTAGGCTCTACCTGCAACCAGAGAGCAGCATGATTCAGGGGTGAAACATCACATGATGGCTGATAGAGACACCTTACCTGGCATGGAGGCAGAGCAGCAGCAGCATAAGAACAGTTTTGATCCTGAATTGCAGGTGACTGGATTAGATCACCACAAAGGGCTTTGGGGGAGAAGGTCAGGTTAGTGGGTGAGCAGTGCCCTGTTGATCCAGGACAGCTGATGCTCAGGGGAGCAGGGTCATCAGTGCCTATTTCTGCCTTACTTTAACACCTCTTCACCCTTGAGATCACAGCAAGTGCATCATGAGGAAAAGATAAAACCAACCTAAAGCTGTAGCATTTCACAGTAGATATTCCCACAACTTCTTTCTTCCCTCCTCCAGAGGCACCAGGCTGAGCAATCCAACCCAAATTCCTGTGCTCAGGAATGCACCACAGGGCCCTAGCACCCAGGTTAGCAGATACCGTTTCACACAGAGCCAAAGGTGACTTTTGAAGACATGAGGGAAGAACTCTCACAGACAGTTCAAAAGGACCAGGGTGCATCTTAATGCACACAACTCAAGCAGGGAAATGCATCAGTAGAGGATCTCCAAACAATGAAACATTGGCCCTTGGTAGGCAGCACAATGAAAGAGCACTGGGCATGCTTTGATCTCTATACCTAGGATAGTCCACAAATACATCAGGACTGATGCAGATAAACAGTGAATAACCTGATATTCTTATCCATAGTGGGACAGAATAAGATATGAACATGGAGTGCAGCATGGAAAACTGCACTAGAGGAGAAAAAAACCCAGACAACAGCTAAATATAAGGCTAGTGAAGCTCTGGAGCAAATTCTCCATCAGTGGAGGTCTTCTAGAGCCACCTAAGACTGATGCTGGCTCAGATAAGGGGCTGGTGTAAGTAATCACTTGAATCCCTTTCAGCCTTGAATGTGAACAAGATTCCGGTGGCTCCCCTTTAGGCAGAGAAGCTTTGGTCCACTGGTGGTAGAGTCCCCAGTAAGTAAATCCGAGACAGTGCTAGGACATACTGGACAAACCAGCTGGCATTAGAGGTATTTCTTGGCAGTAAACTTGACTCACAGTCAACCATGAGATACACCTTGTTCTCCCAGCCATGCATAATGTCTTTTAGCAACATGACAAACCAGGAGAGACTCTCTTACACCCCGCTGCTCCTGGTTTTAGAAAGGACAGTCATACATATTAGAATCATAGAATGGTTTAGGTGGGAAAGGACCTTAAGGTCATCCAGTTCCAACCCCCCTGCCATGAGGAGCAGCGATGCCTCACACTAGAACATGTTCTCCAAGGCTCCCTTCCAACCTGGCCTTGAACACTGACAGGGATGGAGCATTTACCACTTCTTTGGGCAACCTGTCCCATTAAAGAACTTCTTCCTTATATCTAACCTTGAGCAGCTTCGTTCGGAGTCAGGTGTGTTCTGCTATTATTGACCACCAGTATTGACACCACCACCAGTACATAACTGCAGAGCAACCGTGTCCTTCAACTGAATCCTGCAGCAAAGACCATTCCCATCCTCACCAAGACAGATAACCACAGTGCTGGAGACTACCTGGTGCATTACTGCTGCCACAAAACAGTTCAGCAAGCACATTAAAAGCTCCCACAACAGACTTCTATTAAATCCATATGATATTAAATCATACTAAAATCTTCTGTGGTACTGAATGGAGAACCTTACGGTGAGGGGAAGGACAGGCAATGGGCATGAGGATGTGTACTCAGCAAACCAACCCAGATCTCCTTAACAAGCTCAAGTCACAGCAACTAAAATGAGTGCTCTCAAAGTCACGTCACCCTGAAAATCCTGTGACCATAGAGAAGAAACATCCCCAAACTGAATGTGTCCCTCGAGATCCGAGGTGTTGACACGACACCATGGATGGGATTTCACCCAAAGCCCACTGCGGAAATCAAGCATTTCAGGAATCCCACCACACTCAGTGGTGACAAAGGAAGCAGAAGACACCCCTTAACACAGGCACCTACTTGAAGATAAGACAAACTATCTTCTGAAAGCATGCCCTTCTTATTCTTCCCCAACTACTGCTCGAGCATCAGTGTGTAACTCAAATTAGATATCTCTTAGGACAAGATGATGACTGGAAGAATTTTCACCATCAGAACTGGCTTCCTGACAGCTCACAAAAAGCCCATGCAGTGATTTCAGCTCTGAGAACTTCCTAGGCACACAACACCCACAGCTCTCCCCCATACATCCTCCGTGCCATTCATATCAACACACAAGGATTGTTCCACCAAATGCTAATGTGAAAGATGCTTCAGCCCTTGTTCTGCTGGCTCACCTCAACATCATCCAGCATCTGTCTTTTCAAATGCTATTCTGGACAAAACCATAATAAAGAGAAAGGCACCAAGGCTCCAAGTTTTGATAGCAAAGCTGAACCATGGAGCACTAAACTGAGTATTGCAATCTAGTAGGTTACTTCATAGCCTTAATTTATCCTCAGAACAGAAAATAAGCACAGGAGACAAACCAAGATGCAACATTTCCAACAAGAACTGCATGGAATGTAGGAAGGACAGCCCTGGTGCCACTGCTTCCTTCCTTGCATCTACCCCATCTTCATGACCACATCTCAGTCTCTCAGATTGTCCTTGGGTGTCACCTACCTGCTTAATATTGCCATTGAGGTGTCCTTGCCTTAGCTCCTCTTGCTGTGCTTCAATGAACCTTCCTTCTCTGCTCATTCAGAGCAATGGGAGCTGACCCATAAAGTCTAATTGACCTGGGACCTCCAGCCCTGTACCATCAGAAAGGCAGAGGTGCAACACCATGTTTGTATGGCTCATTCTTCCTCCTGCTCAATGCTTGCTATGTTCTATGAAGGCGTTGGTTTAAACCTGATATTTTATTTATCCCCAGGTCTCAGTCAGAGACCAACCTCCATTCTCTGGCTGCAGGAGGACATTGCTCATTGTAGTTTGATACAGTTCTATTTTCTTCCTCTCTAAAAGGAGGGAAAGGTCACAGTTTAGCCAAGATCTGAAACACCTTTGGCTTAATCTCCCTGATTTCTTGGTCTTTTACCTTTGCAGGCAATCCATCCTCAGTTACCTGGGGCTCCTTTCAGCAGACCACAGCAGGGCAAGACCACAGCAGCACCTCCCACTCTGTTCAGTACACAATCCAAGGGAATACACCAGCCCAGCCTTCATCCCATAAAGATGACATGGCAGACACCACTCTCCCTTGTCAAATAACTAACAAGATTCCTGAAGACAATTCCACGGCTTTTGGGGATTTTGAGTTTTGGGGTTGGTTTTTGGGGGAGTTCTTTTTAAGTTGCAGTACCTTGAAACAAAAACTCTGTGTCTGGGATTCCTGATTTACTGTCTCTGTTGCTATAGGTCTATAGAACTTATCCAGTGGCATACAGACAGGTGCTCATGGAATTACCTCCTCTGAAGCCCCAGCATTTCCATGGGAAGAGGAAGATCCCTGTGAGCCAACTCAGTACCCAGACTCTTCCTTGGAACAGCAAAGACTTGGGGTCTTCAAGCAGTGGTGACAGATGTGTCCTTCATTGACAACACTTCACTGCCATGGACCTCAGTCTTTGCAGCCCTTTCCTGACATACCAGAACTCTTCCACCTGCAATCATCTGCTGTGAGGGTAGTAACATAAGGAAAAACCTGCAATTCCTTTTGACACTGGAAATGATTAATCTGAAATCCCAGATCTCCTGGATCATTCTCATTTTGGTGGAGCTGAAAACTCCCATGAAAAGGGTGCTTGGGAAAGAAGGCAAAGGGGAAATCTGGTATCCTGATGGTGGATTATTAGCTTTGTGCCTTCAGCCTAGGATCTGAAGTTACCTGTCCTTCCCTCTCCCCTTCAGGGGGTGTTGAGGATGAATTTAGAGCTTGATAACAGGAGCTAGGCATCGGCTGAGCCAGTGTAAAGCTGCATTGGTTCAACCTCAGTTCTTACCTAGACCTCATACACCAGTCCTGGGTCCCCAGGACAAGTCACTTTAAACCCAAGCCAATTCAGTGTGTAGGGAAGGTGACAAATGCGAGGAGTGTGTGTGTCCTCCTGCAAAAAGAAAGCTTTTTTACCAGCCTCCACAGATGAAAGCTTAGTGAATAACCCTTCTAAGCTTCCCTGATCAGCTGACTTGGCTGTGGAGTGAACGCTACACCTGATAAGATTAGCAGTCTATCATGGTCAGTTATGTATATAGGAAACACAGTTAAAAATGGAGGAAGTACAGCAACCCCCAGTGCCCACTTCAGTGGGGTTTGCTTTTCTTTCAATCTCTTTTCTGTCAACAAAAAGATGGAGCAGAAAGTGTCATCAGTGCCAAGCCTGTCAGGAGGTAGAGGTAGGAGACACCTAACAATGAATTAGTCTGCTCCTCTTATGAGAAATCAGATATTAAAATGACGATTGGACAAGGGGGCAATATCATGGGATGGTTTGGGTTGGAAGGGACCTTAAAGCTCCTCCAGTTCCAACACCTGCCACGGGCAGGGACCCCTTCCACTAGAGCAGCTTGCTCCAAGCCCCTGTGTCCAACCTGGCCTTGAACACTGCCAGGGATGGGGCAGCCACAGCTTCTCTGGGCACCCTGTGCCAGCGCCTCAGCACCCTCACAGGGAAGAGCTCCTGCCTAAGAGCTCAGCTCAGTCTCCCCTTAGCACCTTAATATTTCTGGGCAATCACCTAATAGGGATCCCTGTTACATTTTGCCATAAATACTTCCCTTACTTGCTGCTATGCTGTTAGCATCTACAAGGGCTCTTCCAGAAGAATTGCCTATTGAGACTGATTCTTACCCCACCTTTAAAAACAGCCTTTAGAGTCCTGTATCTTCTATATGATTTTCTTACAAGCTACTTTAGGGACTGCAGTGATAGGAGAAGGGGTAATGGGTTAAAACTTAAACAGGGAAAGTTTAGATTTGATATAAGGAGGAAATTCTTTCCTGTTAGGGTGGTGAGGCACTGGAATGGGTTGCCCAGGGAGGTTGTGAATGCTCCATCCCTGGCAGTGTTCAAGGCCAGGTTGGACGAGGCCTTGGGTGATATGGTTTAGAGCAAGGTGTCCCTGCCCATGGCAGGGGGGTTGGAACTTGATGATCTTAAGGTCCTTTCCAACCCTAACTATTCTATGATTCTATCATTCTATACTGTGAGAATGAAGACAGGGTACCATCTAGAATTGATAACATCTTATATTACTTGAATGGCAAAAGTCCATTTTAGAATAAAGTCATTTAAACTGATATTTTTTTTTTTAAGCACTGAAATATCACATTTTTTAATGAATTATTTGGCTGAGTTTCTGCAGGAACAATACTCTGGGCATCCTTGCAGATGAGAAATAGCATATAAAGGCAATACAGTTGCATAGCAAAAGGCAGTTGTGTCCACAGTCCAAACGCTGGTGGACTTCAGCCAGCAGAAGCATCAGTGGTCACGCACACACACGAGCTCTTGTATGCATCCTCCTGGGCTGTCTGGGACAGGGCACCACTTACTACTTCACTTAGGTGACTGTTACAACATTCCGCCTATAGCTTCTTAAAGCTGATGGGTGCTGAGAGGGTGTTTGTGGGGTTTTCTCTCCTTTGCATTGCTGCTTTAACTCTGCATCTCATCCACAACCTTTAAAAAGCCACATTTTATAGATCCAAGAATCCCAGCATCCTCCCCACCTCCCCCCCCAGCCCCATCCATCACCACAGAACTGTTGCTGGAGTGTTATTAACACAGAGGCTCTGAGCCCAGCTCTGCCTGCTCCTAAGTCTTTACTTAAGTAATCATTAAGAGAGCTCAGCTTTCCTAAGGCTAACAGGATGGGGCTGTAAGATACTCAAACACCCCAAAGGCATTACACACCTCTACCCAGCAGCCAAAACAGTGTCCATGCCCAGAGCAGTGGCTCAGAAAGCCATTACAGGATGCCTGGATGTAAATCTATATCTGACATGTGATACCTTCCCCTTGGAAGTGTGAAAGGAGGAGAAAACCAAAATGCAGACAGATGGATACAACCTCTTGAACCCCCCAAAACACCACAGTCAAGAACCTAAAGGACCAAGTGACAACACCAGTTACATCCCATTATTCCAAACTACCATCACAAAAATCCACTCACCTGGTGAGCGCTCTGCTAGGCTCCACTTGCAACCTGAATAGCCTGCTGTTAGGAAGCCTGACAATAAAATGCAAGCTTAAAAGGCTGTACAAAAGCCAAATACTACAACTGGGGAGAGGCAGATTAACTGGGGTCAATAACGTATTCATAAGAAATACAGCTTTTTGCTTACTAAGTGAATTAAAATACTCAGTGTCCACATATGAGTAGAAATTACTATGTTTGCATATAACATCCCAATATTAGGCACAGTAACTAAAACATTTGTACCTCTATACAGAACATTACATGCATAAGTGGGAGGTAGAGTAAGGGGGAGGCAAATATAAGATACTTGCAGGTATTTGTACTGTATTTTACAGCTATTCAGATGAAAGGTTCAATTGGACCAGAGGGGCCTGATGAGAAATGGCTGCACTGAAGTGAGAGTAGTAAAATCCATCTTGGAGAAGCTAAGGCTACCTCCAGTAAAGCTCTCCACTATTCCCCTGTGTAGAGGGATGAGAAATGAACAAGAAGCAGAAATGGTGCCAAAGTGACATTTCTATGTATCCCAAGAGCACAAGGCTGGAAAGTGCATGAAATCCAGGCACTCATTGTCCTCTGAAAGGAATCTGATGTATATTTAAGGCTCGGACAGACACGGATCTCAATGAGTTTCACAAGTTCGTATGCTGCGCAACAGATCACATGTGAACACGAACATTAGCATATACTACAGAGCATTTAGCACACGGAGCTATAAAGCAGCTATTGTTCTGGTAGTAAGGTAATACGTAACCAGATAGTCCCTGGCTTCATCTAAAAACCATTTTCCCAGCATTTCCCTGACTTGGTCCGCTGGAGCCTCTCCGCTACAACAGAGTGCACATTCATGGCCAACAAACGGGTCCAAAGTGATGGGTTCTCTCCCCCAGTGCCCCACTCCCAGCCCCTACACCTCTCTGATGGGGGAAATGGTGCTCTTAACCCAAGAGAGGTGACATGAACTTCCAGCCCAGAAAGATGCACAGCTTCTGGAGGAGGATAACGCCTTGGGAAGCTGTTCAAAGCTTTACCTTGCAGATAGGGAAAGCTGCAACTCTGGTTGAGCCTTACCTGTTTTAGTTCCAGCACTAGCTAGAAGGAGGTAAGCATTCTTCATTTCTTCTTAGGGGCAAAAAGGGGTAGATGCACACCTTAACAGTCCTTTTTTCCCCTCTTCTTCAAAGCATATCCTTCCAATATAACTGCAAAAGCATCCCTGTTACAAACCAGCACATCCTCTCATTGCAATGGTGTTAAGTGTCACAGTGCTTTGGTGTCTGCAGGCTGTGTTCTTTATAGGACCACATACCCATCTGGCACAGATCCTCCCCTTTTTTCTTCCGTGTCCCATCCTCAGCAAGGTAAGCAATAAATCATGGTGAACATACAACTCAGGCATTGAATCTATCATGTAAAGAGCAAGTTTTTACAGTCCACATTCCTCCTTTTCACATATACACCACTGTCATCCACTGCCTGGGCTGCACAGCAAGTCGGATGGATTCCTACCTCTCTCTCCCAGGAGTACTTATTCCTGGTATGCTACTGCCTCTGGCAGATTCCTCCCTTTTAAACTCTGCACATCTGTTGATAGAAAAACAAGCTTCGACTCTGGCCTGGTGACTGAAGGCACAAGAACATTGGTTAGGTGGTGGGAAGCCTCTTTGAGTGCCAAGAGAAGGCAATGATGGGTGCAAGGAGAGAAATGACCATTTGCTTACCAGGAAGCAAGGGGTTTTCAGGTGTTTTGTCCCAGTGGGTCTCACCAGCACACAGTGGCCTGCAAAGGGGAGACTTGTGGCACATGGACCCACATGGACAAAAGCTGCAAGAAGAATCAAGCAGCCGCTTGTGTAAGAGCCTGTCCTGTGGCTGCCCGGGCAGGACACAACAGGTTGGAAAGTGCTTCCTGAGAGTGAGAGGAGCTGCTGCGGATGGAGAATCCTTTCTGCTTTGCATCTGTTGTGGGTGATTCACAGAGTCATAGCCTGGTTTGGGTTGGAAGGGACCATAAATCTCCTCCAGCTCCAACCCCTGCCATGGGCAGGGACCCCTTCCACTGGAGCAGCTTGCTCCAAGCCCCTGTGTCCAACCTGGCCTTGAACACTGCCAGGGATGGGGCAGCCACAGCTTCTCTGGGCACCCTGTGCCAGCGCCTCAGCACCCTCACAGGGAAGAGCTTCTGCCTAAGAGCTCAGCTCAGTCTCCCCTCGGGCAGGTTCAAGCCATTCCCCTTGGCCTGTCCCTACAGGCCCTTGTCCCAAGCCCCTCTCCAGCTTTCCTGCAGCCCCTTTAGGCACTGGAGCTGCTCTAAGGTCTCCCCTTCAGGAGCCTTCTCTTCTCCAGGCTGCCCCAGCCCAGCTCTCTCAGCCTGTCAGAGCAGAGTCCCATTCACTGGCTGTGGGAAAGGCTGCTCTAGCAGACCCCAGGTCCGTCACAGCAGAAGCAAGGAAGCACATCTCTAACAGCAGCACACAAGCAGAAAGCCCAAAACTCATCCGACTCCAAGTTCTGGTTATTTCCTGCAAGACTCCAAACCTCTTAACACTTAACTCCTATTTGGAAGCGCTCCCTGGACCCTGTTTTGTACCAGGAACCTCTGAGAAAATCTGGCACACAAGGACATTGTAACACATCCATGGGTCAGAGCAGCAGGGAACAACCACTGGTGGGGTTTAATCGAACACAAGCACCCCCGGCTGCTGCTCCCTGTGACTTCAAAGGAGTTGAACACACTATATTTATGCCAGCAATAAAGCTCAGCTTCCATTAGCTCTATACTCACCATTTAAATGCAGTGGTCCTGTCGTGCACACACCAATTAGAGCCCCCTAATGCTTGGGAGTACAAAGCTTTCTCTTTTTCCTCTTGTTTTTGATGGGAAGGGGTGGAAGGGAAGAGATCAGCCGGCTCAGGGGAATAGCAGAGAGAGCCTTTCACTGTGGGGTTCATGCTCAAATCTGTCATAGACCAGTGGTAACAGATGGCCACTTCTGAAGGCTGGTGTGTAGCTTACAGGAAATAAGGGATTGTCTTAGGCCACTGGTGGACAAGTTATTGAAGCCACAAACACATTGCTGGTGGTTTCTGGCAGAGAAACCAAGGGATTACACAGGTACAAAGCAACTGCTGCCTACCTGATCAAAGGCACCTCCTTCCTGGAGGGAATCGAGGCAAATTGCTGGTAGCTTAGGGCTGCTGCTGCCTGTGCAGTGCAGGAACCTCTGGCTGCACAAGTCTGGATCTCAGTCCAAGCCTGCCTGCTTTAGCTGTCATCAGCTCCTTCCACTCGTCAGCACCAGCCCCTGCTCACTGAAATTCCCTTTGGACACGTTTGAGGTTTTGAAGATTAAAATCATGGGGGAAAGGGAGATGAGGAAGATCGGGGATCTGTGACAACAAGGAGGCAAACCCATAGGATCATAGAGTGGTTTGGGTTGGAAGGGACCATAAATCTCCTCCAGTTCCAACCCCTGCCATGGGCAGGGACCCCTTCCACTGGAGCAGCTTGCTCCAAGCCCCTGTGTCCAACCTGGCCTTGAGCACTGCCAGGGATGGGGCAGCCACAGCTTCTCTGGGCACCCTGTGCCAGCGCCTCAGCACCCTCACAGGGAAGAGCTTCTGCCTAAGAGCTCAGCTCAGTCTCCCCTCGGGCAGGTTTAAGCCGTTATCAGAAAGTCTGCATCAATCTGTAAGCTGTGTATAACAAGTAATACCATGACTAATTTTAAACCAAACCCAAGCTGCTGCTCCCTCAGTCTTTCCCTTCTCGCAGTCTGTGTCTTCTCAGGGACACACTTTAACCTTCTGTAGGGCACATGGCAAAAGCCCATCAGTGGCCAAGTGTCCCTGGAGCAGAAGGGGCCGACATAAGCCATCAGCAAGTGTGACTTGGAGAGGAATTTGGACACACCTGGGAATAAATTAAGACAAAGGATATGGGAGGTGGAAGGAACAAGATACATTCAGGCTTAGAAATGCCACTTCAGGTGAAAACGTTCCTTTTTCTCCTAAGAACCTATTTCACAGCTTCCCATTGACTCACAGAAGGACGTGTGTGCTCCTGACCTGGGAGCATGGCTTTGCAGCAGTGGCTGCTGTAGCTCCAAACACCCCAACCTGCTGATGTATGGGCTCATGCAGCCAAAGAGATGACAAGCCTCCTGCAGCAAGCAGAAGCCACATCCTGCTCTCCTGTGCTGGGCTGCTGGGGTCTGCAGTGCAGGGAAAATAGGGCGATTCCCCTGCAATCTTCCTGCACAGCTGGGTACTAGCTGCGGATTACTGCTGTCACATGAGCTGCTTTACAGCAAAGCCAAGCTGTCTTCATGAGCTGAGAAGGTCACTGGGAGACATGGGCCTCCAGGGACAAACACACCAACCTCTACTGCGGCTGTGATTTACCTCCCAGAGTGACCCAGGCGACAAGAGAAGCATCCCTGACTGGTCAGAGGGCAAGGAGAGCTGCTTTTACCATTAGGACTCACCCAGTGAAAGGGGAGAGGAGGGATATCTCCAGTCTCAAGCTGTTCTTTACCAGGCTGCAATCAAGGTGGCAGAAGGCTGGAACAGTCCTTACAGTGACAGATTTACTGTCTCATCCTTGTGTGCCTATAGGTGAGGCCATCCCACCAACCCCTTGGACAAGACCACTAGCCTTGGACAAGTGTCACCAGCCAAAGGATGCCAAAGCGGAAGAGCTGCGTCTCGTGCAACCTGCTGATGCCTCAAAGCATGCATGAATCAATCCTACAGCAAGAAATGTCCTTTTTAAACCCAAAATCTAACCACTGAACATCAGGCCCAATGAAAAGGAGCAAGTTTCATTTGGAAAAACAGAAGTCTGAAGGTTCAGCGTGTCCACTTGGGAAAACGCATTAAAACCTCCCATCTTCATCATTCTGCCATAGGCAGTCTGGTGACAATGAACACATTTCTACAAGAGATCACTCACAGGCTCAGTGGTTGCAGGATGTGGCTCTTTACTGTGCCCCAGGGGCACAAGACAGATGGGGTTGTGCTTTTAGGCTTTCAGATCAGTTCCTGCTACGGGGATCCAACGAAGAGGATAAACAGAGGCACAGAACCATCCTCCAGCCATGCTCAGAATGAAACAACAGAGGACTTCAGGAGGTCAGACCCTGTTCAGAAAGCAGCTGAGGCTGTTTTCATAGAGGGGCAGAGCACTTTTGAAGGCAAAGAACACAAACAGGCACTGGAGCAGTTTGGAGATGTCTCCTCCGTATCTTGTGCCTGGAAAGTGGGAATGCACAGGGCAAAGAGGAGTACAGGGTGGAGGAGGATATGCTGTAGAGAGGAAACTTTAGTCTAATATGCAAGATTATGAGCTTCCTAAATGGGGAGACACAGAAACCATGGCTCTGTGCACTGAAGAGCTGTACCTGGGGAAGCCTCAGCTTCAGCATAGCTTACACAGCGTGTTTCTCCTTGCACTGGGGTGCCCAGCACTGCGAGTGGAGAGTCCCCAAAGCCCAACTCATTTCCTAAGATGCCTCCCACATAACAACAGCTTGCTGGGATTCCAGCCAGCTTCCCATTTGGATCAGATTGCACCCTACGCCCACTGACAGCCATTAAGAGCCTGGAGCTCACAGCCTGCCCTCGGGTCAGATGAGTCTCCATCCATTCAAAGCCCGGCCACATTTTCCACAGCTCTCCAGTGTACACAGGACAGGGTGGCCTGATGCAGCTCACAGACACAAACGCACTTGTGAGGGAAGGCAAGAGCTGTGCCCTGCTGTCATGAAACAGCAGATTGCAGCCCAGTTCTGCTGTGACGTGGGGGGATTAGAAAGCCCCTCTCCATCTGCCCTGATTCAGTGTAATCACAGGCTGCTCCTTCAATTCCCCAAGCCCTGGAGTGGTGTAAAGGGGTAAAAGTGGTACAGCATAGGTAGAAAACCAGCAGCAGCATCCCCAGTTTTGCCTGTGGTCAAGGCACTCACCCATCACTATACAGATAGGGATGAGGGGATGCTCCTTCCCTAAGAAGGCTATTCACCTAAAATCTGTACTCAAAGGTGTTTCAGCTGCTCTACAGCAGGGACCATGGCCCATCCTTCCCCCCAGGCAGTGAGGTGGCAGTTGGGATCAGTTGCAGAAGAAATGATGCCCTACAACTCAGGACACAAGTCTTGTTTTGCTTTGGGAAGAAGCTCTCCATGCCAGCATGTGAGAAGGGTGAGCTGGGATCTCTCCTCTGGGATCATCTGGAAGAGGAGACTGAGCAGAGATAGTGCCACTAGGATGTAGTTGTCCTTAGTTGTCTCCTGTCTGCTCTTAAGCTGGAAGTTCTTCCAGAGATGGGCTACAACACCCAATGTCCCACAGGGCTCAAGAGGTGAGGCTGGCACACTCAATGGGGATTTGGATAAGCTGGCACAATCCATCACACACAGACTTCATCCCAGGAGCTCGAGGCTGTTTCCTCTTGTCCTGTCACTTGTTACTTGGGAAATGTAGGTTCCATCCTCCATCTCAAATGAGAAGTTTCATTAAGAGATGGAGGAAAGCCAGATGCAGTGAATACAAACATAAGCTCCATGTATCATTTCACTTGCCAAAAGGCTTGACCTTTTTTTAGTAAGTGTCGTGCACTGAGCAGCTCCTTCTGAAGCCAGACGGATTGCTGAGGGACTGTGAGATGACGATGCAGAAGCCTGGACAAATACCATTCAGATACACCAGATAAGCAGGCTTCAAATCCAACCTCGAAACACAATGAATTCTGAATCAAGCAGCACATTCAGAGTGTTCCCAGCCTGACTGACTTGTTACTCTTCCATGATGAAGGATCACCATGGGAAGGAAGCTCAATCTTGGGAAAGCAACAACCCTCCGCAATGAGAAACCAAGGTGGAAGAGGAGAGAAGGAGGAAAGCCATGCCATGAAGGCCCTTGTGGAAACACCTCTGTAAGGAAAGCTCTGGAGGACACCACCTGTCTGCTTCCTTAAACCCATGTTCATCCCCAGTCAAGCCCACGCTGCAGCCAGGCCAGGGCACGGTAGGACAGCACCTCTTGCACCCAACACACTGAGGTCTCCATCCTTCCGTGCATGAAGCAACCACATCCCTTTGATTCTCAGCCCTCAAGATCTCCAAGCAAACATTCCTTAAAATCCATCTGTTCCAGGGAAGCTGGGACAAAACCAGAACCAAGTTTTCTTCCTGACTGCTGCCCCTGACGTGGCTGCATTTTGGCACCAGAGTGGGTGCACAATTGGGATCCCTCAAACCTGAAGCTTCCCCACACAATTCAGATCGATGAACACAGTGTCAGTAGATCTGAATTAATTCAAGAGCAGCAGAAAGAACTTCACCTTTCTGTTACGACTGCAAGGATGGGAACTGCTTTAGGCACTAAGAGCAGGACTGCTTTGTAAGTGTTGCAGCAGACACCAGGCAGCTTCTCTTTCTAAATATATGGATAAAGAAATCCTGCCCAGCCTGGACTCGTCACCAGTCCTGCTTCCTCTTCCAGACCAGAACAAAAGGGAACATATTGCAACTATGCTGAGAGGAGAAGAGCTGCTGCCTATTTCTTTAAATGTAATGTTAATGCCTTGTAATCAGCTTTAATTTTTAAACAGACCCAGCCCTCCTGTCCATTTCCCCTAATTCAGGACACGTGGAAGGTAAATGGCCTCTGCTTAAACCGGGGCAGCATCAGCTGTGACAGCTGGAGAGCCTGTAAGTCTCAACTGCCTGATAACAGGAATGGATGTCAAAACTCACCAGGGGAGGGGAAACGGGGAGGGCAGGAGAGGTGCTGGAGATGCTGTAAGGTCATTGAGAAGCCCAGGGATGAGGCCAGGCAGGGCACAGCTCATTTGCTGCATGGAAGCTCACTGAAACCAAGAGGAACTGAAGAGATGTTAGATGTGCTGAAGCAGCAAAAGACTCAGCAGTGACTCCCCACCCCTGATGAAGGTGGCTTCTCTTTTGGGGCATCGCTGACATCACCTCACACACACTGAGCAGGGAAGGAGAGTGTCTTTTAGGGGACAGCAACAGAGCATGGCAGGAACTGAGCAACTCCTGGTGTTGCTGCTTTCTCTCTTTGTGATCTTGAGGGCATGTCAGAGCTAAAAAGCAGCCTCTTAGGCTTCATGAGCGACTTGGATACGGAATGGGGGCACAAACCACCCATGAGGTTCTCCTCATGTTCTTCTAACGCTGCTGCCTTTGCAAAGAGGGAAGAGACCTGTGCTACATCGTGAGTGCTCAACTTACAAAAACATTTTAGGCCAAGGGGGAATGGCTTGAACCTGCCAGAGGGGAGACTGAGATGAGCTCTTAGGCAGAAGCTCTTCCCTGTGAGGGTGCTGAGGCGCTGGCACAGGGTGCCCAGAGAAGCTGTGGCTGCCCCATCCCTGGCAGTGTTCAAGGCCAGGTTGGACACAGGGGCTTGGAGCAAGCTGCTCTAGTGGAAGGGGTCCCTGCCCCTGACAGGGGTTGGAACTGGAGGAGCTTAAAGTCCCTTCCAACCCAAACCATTCTATAGTTCTGTGGCTTTCACCCGAGGAAATAAAACAACAGAACCTGTGAACCCCTCTGCCCCAGAAGCCAAACAGTACCGGCCTGATGTACAAGTGACTGACCAAGGTCACTCAACAAGCCAGGAGAAGCCCTAAAGCCAGCAGCACTCAAGTGCCATGGCATCCACCTCCAGCTTCCTGCTCTAACAACCCCAACCTGTTGTGTGAAGCTGGCTCCATGGAACACAACAGCAACGCTGGTGCAGGTAATGCCCGGGTAGTTGGTCTGAAGGGACAATCTGGCCATCGCTGCAGTATAAAAGGGACCTGTCTGAGCCACTATTTTTAGCCCTGGTTGGTGGGCAGACAAATCCTAATCGCGAGCGGCAGCCGCTTCGTCATCAGTCCCAAGATGTCAAAGCAAAGCCACGCAGTGCCCATGACAGCCCTGCGTCAGGACAGCCTGAGCCGCCCGGGATTAGTGCCCAGGAGTAATGCAGGACAGCAGCAAACCCAGGAGATCCATCATGATGGGTTTAAAGTGGCATGGCAAGGTAAGGTAAGCCCTGCCAAAGCGAGCAGAAGTCACTCGTGCTGGTCCACACTGAGCTGTTTGGGTTCTTGGAACTCTTTGGCTCTCATCGTGCTGGGAACCTAGCAGCACCATACCAACTGCTGTGCCACATCCTAACACGGTGTGTTCCCCACCATCCACCCAGGGCTCCCCAGACAGGCAGATGCTGACATAGAAATGGGGCAGATGCAGAGAGAGCTGAGCTGCAGTCGAGTACTCACTCTGCAGGGCACACACAGGGAACTGCATGTACTTGACACAGAATAAACTCATTTTAACTGAGGCTTATGCCAATGTATTTCACTCAGAGCACATCATAGCCCATTGCTGACAATGATTCATTTATGCAGAGATTTGTCCTCTAGGAAACACCTCTCCCTGTTCCTGGCTCTGCTCGGTGCATGCATCCAGGAATTCACTCTCATCCACTTCAGCTCTCTGTGCTGGCCTCTCCCTTACCCTGTCATCTGAAACGTAGCTGCAACACTGATTTTCCTCACTTCTCCTTCAGATTGGGATTAAATCATACCTGTTTCAGGGAAACACTTCAGTAAAGATACGTGTTCCCAGTGGAAAGACCCTACAAAAGGCTCAACTCTTTCCTTCTGGTCCACTTGGATGCAAACAAGCTGATCTGCACTTTGCCAAGTTGCTAGCGACTCATTTGGGTCCATTTTCCCTAAAAAAAGGCGATCAAACAGGGAAAACAATATTAAACTTCTTTTAAAGACTGACACTTGCAACAGATCAGCCTCCAAGCCTCCCTCCATGCCACTATTACTTTGTTTTCTCCTGCAAAAAGAAGTCCCAGTTCCCACTGGATCAGTGCCCCACACTTCCCTGACTCCAGGCATCCAGAAAAGAACAACAGGCAGCTCCCTTTGCTGGGATCTCTGACTGCTTTCATGCTCATGGAGACATGCACAGCCCAGAGAACGTCTCAGCTCCTGCCTTCCCCTCCTGGGTGTGCTTTCAGCTGTAAAAAGCCTACACAGAGAGGGGTGGGACTGGCCTGGAGGTCTCTGTGCTGCAGGAGGAGGGTTCCCCATCTCCCATCTGCACAGTGAGGGTGGAGACAGGTTCCCACCTGGCACTGTATTGATTCCATGGGGGAAGCTCGGCTGCCTCACCCCGAGCCGAAGCCTTCCCAGTATTTCAGCTGCTGCTGCTGTTGCTAACAGAAGTCACCAAGTGGAACAGCTCTTCCCATGCAGCAAGTTCCCCATCACCCTCAATGCTGCTCTGGGCTTGTTCATCCTGTGCTAACTTGCAGGATACTCTGCACTGACGCCTTGTTTCCTCTGTTTGCGAAAGCAGAGAGCTTGCTAATCCCCCTCTGCCTACGTCAGAGTCCTAATGCTCTCCCTGGGCTTCCATCACAACTCCATAATCCTGGCTCAGACCCAGCTGTAAACACGGCTCCCTTTGGCTGTATGGAGAATTGCAGTTGGATTTTGGGATGCAGAAGGGCAAGCGTCCCTGTAGGCTCCTCTCAGTGCCCATTTCTACATTACCACATCACCACCAGGCACACCGGTGGTGCCAGGAGCATCTCCAGCAGCACAGGGAGAAGATACATCAGTAAAACATGGTTTAGGGTTGGGAAAAGAGCAGCAGGTGCCACATGTGAGGACTAAGGTGGAGAAACAAGGATCCATTTCATCTGGCTGTGTCTAAATCAGGTCTGTTACATTAATTCCCTGGGCACAACTTGATGTCACATTTTCCACTGCCACTTCTTCCCAAAACCAGCTTTCCCCTGCACCTCCTTCCATGTCCTGTTTTAAACCCCAGCTTTGAGCACACCATCCCTATTGCCTTCAAACCAGCCCTCCGAGATGCCACACACTGCCCAAAACCACAACAACCCCAGGCTTGTGATGACACTGAGACCATGAAACCAGCCTTCCTTTGGCAGGGAGCCTGCTCTGTTCTTTACAAGCAGCACTATGCACTGCTACAGCCCCACACAGGTACTGCTTAGGCAAAAGCCTCATCAATATTTCAGGCTGAAGCCTGTAGCTCAAGCAGCAGCATTCAAGGCCCTGATCAGATCAATGTCAAACAAAAGGCTGCAGGATGAGGATGCTCCAGCAAGCGAGGCCGAGGCTGAGGGCTGGCAATGTCACCTCTCCTTCCCCATGGTGAGTATCTCTCCTCTGGCTCCAGCGAGCTGGGATGGCTCCAGCACCAGCCCATCCCACAGAGCTGCTCAAAGCACAGTTTCCTCTTACAGGAGCATTTTCAGTTTCCAGCTGACTTCAGAAGTGGTGCTGTTACAATGCCCATCACTTGCTTTGATTATTACTTTGCTTTAATGCCAGTCACTTAAGAACCTGTCTTGGGTTTACCAAACATCTGAGGCTCATACTCTGGGGTCATCGGTTCCAGCATCCCCACTCAGAGCAGATGCTCCAGAGTAGCAAGAAAACCATAATGCACTTAGCTAGTTTGACACTGCATGGGAGCAGGAGATCTTATTTCCCTCAGCTATAAATGTAACTGATCAGAAGATAATCCACAGCCCTTTTGCAGTTCAGCCACGCTCCCGGGCTCCCTATTCTCTGCAAGGCTGAATTCAGCCCTAGCTTCCAAGACATCCATGAACATAAAGAAGTTGCCTCTTTTTAGCCCTCTTGGTTCTCTTGGATCACTTAATTATTATTCAGGTGCCAGAGAATGGATGGGAAAATATCATATCAAGATAGAAACCAAAAAGAGAATCATTACATCTAACGGCTAAAATCAGGGATGAAACATCTTGCCTGACTTCAAGCAATTCTGTTAAACTACTGTCTCCTTTTCCTACCAATAAAATGGGATAAATTTATGTCCATTCCAGGGAAAATGGAGTGGGTGAGAGATTGGAATCCCTCAGAAAGCACCTACAGAAGGGTAAGAGCAGTCCTAGAGAGAAGCGCTTATTGGCAATACCAGCAAATGAAGCCTTTGCAAGCAATAGTGAGCAGGGGGAATTTGCTGGTTAATGCCATTATGGTGCTGGCAGACATTTTCCCCCTCCCCTTCCTGCTACCAATTGCACCAAATCACTCCCTGTTTTTCATCTCCCCCCAACAGAAGGGTGCTGCATCAAATAACCCAGGAGGATGCTCACACTCACACCCTGGGCTTCAGGATACGGAGAAGGCAGACAAATCCTCCCCGCCAGAGCCAACGTTGAAAATCCATCTGCTCTCCATCCCCAGACAGAGACAGGAGGAATAGATACCAACATCTCCTCCATCCCTAAGGGAGATATATTAGCTGGTTATGTAATAAAACTAACAGCATGGTGCTTCCAAGGACTCCTGTGCCGACAAAGCCCTTCCCCTAATGCCACCGGAGATTAGAGCAAATCGAACAGGAGTGGAAGCAAGGCGAGGGGCTGCGGGTGAGGTTTGCACAGAGGAGATGCTGCAGCATCTGCCCTTAATGCACTCAAAATCCCATCTGATTTCCAACTCTGCTGCTAAAAAAATAGAAAGGGGAAAAAGAAAGGACAAAAGAAACAGCCCAGCCTGCATTAAAATGGTATTAATAGTGGGTGAGTGAGGTGGAGTGACTCAGGAAGGAGTGCTGTTCAGTGGAAGCATCCAGAGGAATCCAGACCATGAAAGCATTTTGGATGCAGACCAAAAGGAGGCAGGGGTGCAGATCTGCTAAAGGACTCCAACGTGCTTGGACAAATCTGATTAGTTGCTGGTTTTGAGCATCCAGGGTCAGATCCTTCCTTCAATAAACACACGTCACTTATCCCCCTTGTGCCGGGCTGCTGGAAAAGCAGAGCACAGCACTTCTCTCTCAGCATCAGATGCATTCCCAGCTCCACGGACAGGGGTTTCACTTCATTTCTGCTCCCTCTTCAGGCTGGCTGACCCCACAGCAAGAGAAACCAAGTTGAACACCCCAAGTAAAATTACTCTTCCCTCCACTTCCCTGTTTTTGCTGCAAATTAAATAGTGATGTTTTAAAATGATCACATTCCCTGTGAGATGAGGATTTTGATGCAAGTCAAGTTTGAGGTCTCATCTGGACAGGTTCCTGCTTTACATGCAAAGAAGTCATGGCTCTGCTGTCCGACTGCACATGCTTGTTCCCCTTTGACAACTAGATTTCAAACGGCCCCATCCTCAAGGCTATGTTTCCATTCAGTTTCACACTTTACATCCTTTTTGAGCTTATTTTGACATATTTCCATCCATTTAATCAAAATAACCAGTGAGTTTCACCTCTGAACTCGGAAAGCAGTTGGTAAAGGCATCAGGCAGAAGTACAGCACAACTGGAGGCAGTGGATGAGCATCAACTAGACACGGTCGTATATTCCAGTATCACCTCTTGAACTTACTGGTTTATCCACTACAAACGGTTTGAACAACTGCAAAAGTCACCAGACTTGGCAGAAGAGACATCTAGGTCATAGGTGAGAAATGCCATATAGCATCCCTAGAACTAAGGTATTGACTGTGATGGCAAGATGAAAAACAAAGCAGGAGGCAAACAACCTGATGTTGACAGCTGAGGGATGACTTGGAAGGTGTCACCCAAGCAGAAAACCAACAGTTGCTCCAGAGCAGCCATCGAGCACACAAAAACAGCCTTAAGAAAGGAGGGAAATGAATGGGTAATAAAATGTTGGTCATACTCTCTTCCACTTCACAGTGAGGTGTTTTGGAGATGAGCTCACCATGGCACTGACTAGGTGCGTTGGTTGACCAAATCTGGTCCTCCCTGTGGTAGGCACTGTATAGATGCAGCGTGGGGAGCAGTCTGCCCCTGAAAACTAAAGCTAAAGAGCAAGCTGGCAGAAGGAGGAAAAGAGCAAAGCCACCAGCATTATAGAAGTTAATAAGAGGTTGGTGCTACCATTTTGTTGTGAGATTGCAAGTCACAACCTAGTTAGTGACCATCTGCAGTGAGGGAGAACTATGTAACTAGCAAAAACTTGGTATTTCAAGTAAAAGAAAGGAAAACTCCTAGCTAAGAGCTCATTAAAACCCCAGAGAGAGTAAAAACTTCCCAACAGCCTTACCATTGGCATCTTGGACTCCAGTAAGCGCTCCTACTGCTGCTGCAGTTTCACCAGACAGGACAATTTGTCCTCCCCCTTGAAGAGTGGCTTCAGCAAGCGTGGCTACTGCATGGGCAGCTGCTTCACTGTGGGCACAGGAAAGGAGAAAGAAGGGTTACAAGACCAAACAAAGAAATAACTCCATTCAAACAGCATCCATTTTAAGCAGGCAATGTGTAAAGAGAACAAATCCAGAAAGGAGGAACTGGGATAGCCAGGAATTCTCCGGTTGCTCAGAGAAGCTGTGTCTGCCCCATCCCTGGCAGTGTTCAAGGCCAGGTTGGACACAGGGGCTTGGAGCAAGCTGCTTTAGTGGAAGGTGTCCCTGCCCATGGCAGGGGTTGGAGCTGGAGGAGCTTTAAGGTTCCTTCCAACCCAAACCACTCTGTGATTCTTACTCTGCTCAGATGAAGTTATTCAGAGCAGCAAACCTATAGCAGGGGAGGAATATATGCAAAGAAGCAGCTTCCACTGGCTTTTTCCAGCTTGCACATCTCTTATGTCAGAACTTCCCTGCCTTCTTGCCTTCACATCCTTTTACTTGGGACTTCACTAAAGCTTTCAGTCAATCCAAGTAGTTATATATACACCATGTTGCTCCTTCCTGCTTCTGGTTTCCGGTACAAAACTCACCCTTTTGGCACTGGCACATTCCAGGTCTCTACACATTTGAGAGCTCTCCTCTTCACTACTGATTCTGCCAGATGACCTTGCACTGAAACAGGCCTTGAGGTTCACCAGGATCACATCAGCAGCTTTCTGTTTAGCTAAGATGGAGCACTTCTCCCCAGCTTAGCACAGTATTGATAAAGTTCTCCATACAAATGAGGTCAGACTTTTAGGAAGGAGTGTGCATGATCCTTCCCTTCCTACACCCTCTCAGCTTCCATCAGTCAGTGGTGTATTGATTTCCTACATTAGAGACTGCATCTGGACCATCAGGTTTGATTTGTTTAATCCTGTTTGAAACCCATTTATACTTTCTACTTCCACAACATCCTGTAGCAGTGAGTTCTGCATTTCATTAGATGCTGTGTGAAGAGAAAATGCACCACGGTACTCCAGAAAGTACTGCCTCAGTCTGGCTGGGCAGCCTTTAACTCTGAGATTGTGAGAAACAGAGAATAACTGTGCCCTTTTTGTTCTCCTCATGATTTCATAGACTTCCAGTAATCTTCACAAGCTCCAGAGCCATAGTGCACTTCCTGTCCAAGGACTTTCTGGCTTCTGATCACTTGGCCCTTTCCAGACTTTTCCTAATGTAAGGTATCTGTTAGAGGGGGGTGACCATTTCTCACACTATTCAAGATGTAGAGATGCCATGTGTTAGTTCTGGTGTCCTCAACATAAGAAGGACATGGAGCTGTTGGAGCAAGTGCAGAGGAGGCCATGAGGATGATCAGGGGCTGGAGCAGCTCCCATATTGAGACAGGCTGAGAGCATTGGGGCTGTTGAGCCTGGAGAAGAGAAGCTGCGTGGAGACCTCAGAGCAGCTTCCAGTGTCTGAAAGGAGCTCCAAGGATGCTGGAGAAGGGCTCTTCATCAGGGACTGGAGTGATAGGACAAGGGGTGATGGGTTCAAACTGAAACAGGGGAAGTTCAGGTTGGAGATAAGGCAGAAGCTCTTCCCTGTGAGGGTGCTGAGGCACTGGCACAGGGTGCCCAGAGAAGCTGTGGCTGCCCATCCCTGGCAGTGTTCAAGGCCAGGTTGGACAGAGCCTTGAGCGACATGGTTTAGTGTGAGGTGTCCCTGCCCATGGCAGGGGGGTGGAACTGGATGATCTTAAGGTCCTTTCCAACCCAAACCAGTCTGGGATTCTATGCTTCTATGAGTTAGTCCAGGAGCCTCATCCCAGCTTGTTCTCTATACCTTTCCCTACAATTCCTATTATTCAGCTTACTCTTTTGACAATACATATTCATCAGTGACAAAACATTCCTGCAGGATAGTCCCCTGAATGCTTTCTGAATGTAACTTGCAGCATATAGTTCCTTATTAGAGACACATGTATGTGCATCACTTGCCATTTATTGACATCACATTTCATTTCCCATTTGGATGCACCATCAGAGTGCTGTGAGCATCCTTCTGCAGCAATCCAGAATCCTCCAGACCTGTTACATGACTATTAACCACTTCTGGTGACCTGCTGCTAGCCACAAAGTTATTCCAAAGCCACCACCTCCCTGCAGCTGAATCTCCTACCATTTCTTACCTGAAGGAGCTAAGAAAAGGAGGAATTTTCTTTAGCTTCCCCTAGGATGCTCTTCCTTAACTCATTCCCTTGTAGACCAATTGACTCAAATATTTTCCAAGTACTTCTCACTTATTTTTCCCTGGTTTCCTGCTTAGATGCTGTTCCCATTCCAAGTGTATTCACTCAGGGTGTATTTCCATTTCTGTCTCTCAGAGTAGCCCTTACACACTGTTAGTGAACCGGAATATTTTCTTGCTCTGCTTTCTTACTCCCTTTGGATGATCTCCCTACTGAACCTGCAGCTGTATGAAGGCATTTACACTGCAGGAAGGCCAACCCCAGCACAGCAACCCTGGGGTAAGCATGCATTTACTCGTGGAATCCTGTTTCCCAGACCCACAGCACTTAGCTGAATCTACCTGCAAGGACAACTGAGCACTTTAATCATCTGGTACAGCTGCATCCCTGGAAATAATAATGATGTGTAGCATAAAAGCTTTTTCCAGTCAGTGTGCTTCACAGACATTAACTGGCTCAAATCAATGATTTAATTACCCACCTTGACTCTGTCCTCTTTACTAGAAGGTCTAATACTTCCCATTCTCAAAGCTGAGAGGTTGCATCATCCATCATGTCGTGCTGCTGGTAGACGTACTGCTCTATGTGGGGCTGTGAAAGACTGCACTCTACCAGCAGCCAATAGAACAAGGTTCAGAGATCACAGAATCATAGAATCAACTGGGTTGGAAAAGACCTTTAAGATCATCAAGTCCAACCATTACTCAGCACAGGCCACCACTAAACCATGTCACTGAGGGCCTCATCTACATGATGGCAGCTTTCAGCTAAATTAGGCATAAAGTTTCCAGAGCTGAGCCACCAGCTTTCAAAGACCAGAACCTTGCTGAGACCTTCCCAAAGGCAGGGGAAGGACTCCATTTCCACAGCTGGAAGCAACAAGGAGCATTTTGTGGCAAAGGAATAAGTACATCTCGTCCACATGAAAGGGTGTTGGAGGACAGTCACCTAGAAAGGTCTCCAGCGCTTATGGTCAGTAGAGAAAGAGGGTGACAACAAGCTAGCAAATTTAAACAGGACAGGCCAAGGGGAATGGCTTGAACCTGCCCGAGGGGAGCCTGAGCTGAGCTCTTAGGCAGAAGCTCTTCCCTGTGAGGGTGCTGAGGCGCTGGCACAGGGTGCCCAGAGAAGCTGTGGCTGCCCCATCCCTGGCAGTGTTCAAGGCCAGGTTGGACACAGGGGCTTGGAGCAAGCTGCTCTAGTGGAAGGGGTCCCTGCCCGTGGCAGGGGTTGGGACTGGATGAGCTTTAAGCTCCCTCCAACACAAACCAACCTGTGATTCTGTGATTCCTGCTGCAGCACTGCTACAACCTTTACATCACTCCTGAACTTCAGACTGTTTGACCAGACTTGTCACAGAGCTTTCCTGGGTATAAAGCAAGCTGATCCTGTCTTGAGGCACAGGAGAGATTAAATGAGTTGTTGAAGGCTCTTCCAGTCATATTTTCTAGGAGACCCTCCTTAGTTCTAACAACTCTTCTTTTTCTTAATGATTCTGAATTTCTTAAGCTATTACTAGTGGAAGAACCCTGCCCATGGCAGGGTGCAGTGGACTACAGGATCTTTAAGGTCCCTTCCAACCCAAACCATCCTCTGATTCTATAATGCAGGAAAAGGAAGAGCTCATTGAGACCTTAAGAGCTAAAACTATGAGCAATGGGATGAAATTAAAGTCACATTCCAGAAGATGTGGCTTTCCTTGCAACTCCATACCTAGTTAAATTAGCTGTTGTTCTTAGTGTCCTAAAAAGATCACTTGTTTTAAAAGGCAATTTTACAGTGAAGCTATTAGTAAAAAAGCCCATTTAACCAACCTTGCATTGTAGAACAGAAAAGAACATAACTGATGGACCTGAATCTGGACCACAAAGAGAAGGAACAGTTCTAGGTGTGTGGCAACAGCAGTTTGGAAGCAAGCTGTTGGAAGTCCCAGAGTGGCTCCTTTAGCAATCTGTATCTCACAAGGTCCTGGAGCTTTACTCCAAGCATCAATGTGGACTTGGGCCTTCTCCTAACCCATGGCTGCTCAGTCAACAGCACCTAGACCAGAATCCTGATTTGGATGAGGAAAATACCTTATCTACACTTCAGTGTGAAACCTCCCATGCTGCTGGGGCTGATGCTGTGTTTCCTGCGGTCCTCCTGCTCTCTCAGGGTGATTTCTGGTGTGCCACACACCAGGCAAAGCTTAAGCAACTCACCAGAGCTGAGCACAGACACTGCTTCCTGCTGCATGGACTGTAGAGAACTGTGCTGCAGACCTTGGTAACCTGAGTACAACCAAAACTCTAACAGAGCTTGTTCCAAGATGAAGCAGCAGCATTACTACTGCAGCTTGGTCACCTTCCACTTCAGAAACACACCTCAGAGAAACCCCTCTGAAACCTCCAGAACCCTCTGGAAGAGGTTCTGATTTCTGAAGAGTGCCCATAGTGTCACACAACAGAGCAATTCAGGCTTAGCCTTTTAGTAGGAACCATTAATAATACTGAGGGAGACCCAGACAAACATAGTTAAGGTGCTATTAGCACTTCATGACTCTTGCTTGCTTAGCAAGCTCAGTTCTGTAACTGGACTCTTGATGTATGACTAAGTTTGTAGGATAAAGTTACTATCCATCTTTTCCTATGCCACGAAATTTCCATGTTAGTAGTGTTCTATGGTTACAATGGAAATCAGGAACTGTCCTGCAGACACCTGGACACTCACTGCCATAGGAATTTGCTAAGGAAAAGGGACTGGACACAGTGGTCTTTGTACCATTAGAGTGAAAGCCTAGAAGGAAATGTCATGCACGTGTGCTTCCCAGCCATACCTGTTGAGTGCCATGGTAACAGTTGCTCCTTGTTGCATCTCCTGAGATGCTGCCACTGCTGCTTCCGCTAATGATGCCACCGCCTGCGTGGCCTCTGATGCCTGCGTCGTCTGGATCGTCATCTCACCCCCTTGTAGCGTGGCCCAGTTCTGCTCCACCTAAGGGGAAACCAAAAAGAGAGGCCCTAAGATTGGATTCACGCCATGAGCAAATGCCTGTGCCCTAAAGTGAAAGAGCCAGATAGTTTCAAGAGGTCTTTGCAGAATCCTGCACATGCTCTGACTTTGAGAGACAGGTAAAAGAGGGAGGAAGTTGGGATCCACCTGAGAACATCTCTGGGCATTACAACCCTCAGCCCCATCAGCCATGATAGCAAGTTTCTATAGATAGCCCATGATTTTAGTTGCTGCCCTCCATATGTTGAACAACAACTTTGAACACAGTTCAAACAAGAACTCTGCTTTTCTCGCACACATGGAAAGCACACCCCATAAACACCAGTGCAACCCCTCACATCCCACAGATCCCTCTTATCCAGCCAATTCCACAACAAAATGGGACAGCATTGACCACTGCTGTACTCTGATCACTGCCTGCAAGCCTGGGCACTTCAAGCAGTAACATTCAGTGCTGGAATTCCAGCATGGATCATGTCCCACAGGAATGCACTTGCCTCACTGCTCCCATCCGCTGTCATTCTGGGGAACAGCTCCTGTTCCCATTCAGGGTTTATTTGTACAGCAGTTGTGAACTCAGATGGGTTTGAGCAATGCAGAATTTCTTTGTGCTGCAGCAATATACTTAATGAAAGAAGATGGCAGATGGGAAGTGCTCTGTTCATGTATCTCAGGTACTTTCAATTCCCTTATCTCAAACCTTGATGTAGGCAGTTACACATTACTTAAGGGTTCACTCAGTCTCAGTTGCTCATATGCCCACATTTGTCCATTTGGGACTCGACAGCTCATGAGATAATGAGTGTATGGCCCCAAAATCCACCACAATGTGAACTAGAAATACACATTGGACCAAAACAGTTAAAGAAGTGGAGGATGAAGGTCCATCAGCTGACAACTCCTCCTGCCTGCTTTGTAAGATGATCTTCCCCCACCCTCCCATCACTGTTCTCAGCCCCATAAATGGCTCAGGCTACTCACCATCTTGCTGAGACACGCAAATAAGAATGCCACAGAAGGTGATGAAAAAATAAACCCCAAACTCAACTTGTTAAGATGGAGAAAGCTAAAAAGTCCATGGAGGCTGGCTTAAGGCTCGAGTAAATCTTGCTGCCTTTGGGCAAGGGAAAGGTTGGTTAGTCCCATCAGAGGATGGAGAGGGAGAGAGAACCTGTCGCGCTCTCACTCACATCTGCTATCACACACTCCTCAGCAGCTGCCAGTCTGGTTTTCCAGCACTTGGGCACAAGCAAAGCTGGCGATCGTCGAAGCTCTTTGGCCATCCCCAGCCGTCTGACGTTCAAGGCAACTGCTTCGTTCTCCTGTGCCCAGAGCTGGCCCTGGGCGGAAGGATCCAAAGCAGGGAGGAAGCAGTGAGACAGTGCATTGCAAAAAGGAGAAAGGCAGCTGATTTTAGAGAAGGCAACGTCTTTTAGGACAGATGCAACTGAGCTGGAGTGCCCAGAGAGGAAGAACTGCAGGTGGTGAAGAACTCAAGAGAGTCAGATCGAGTTTGTGGTACTCATTAGCCATGCCAAAACCAAAGGGAAGTGAGCCCAAGCTGGGAAAAGATACCCTTCCCACCATGCACAAGAAGAACAGACATACATATTCTCAATACATGGCAACACACATTTGCATGATAAAGCAGATCTCCACTGTGACAAACTGTCCCCTGCAAAGATGCCTAAGCTGCTTTGGGATGGAGTAAGGCCTGGAAAAGAAGCGGGGACTGTCCAGGCCCTTCTCCACACTAATACAAAGGTTGTGCTGCTGAGATACCAGTCAGCATCCCTGCTTCATGCTGCTTAGTGTCCTGTAAACACAGGGATTTACTCAGAGTTTACTCAGATCTTCATACAGCAAGAGACAGCAGGACAAAAACATCTCTGGAGTGGCTGCCAGCAGGCTGTGGGTCTATCTCCGCAGAGAAACAGCACCCATCCCCAGAGCAAACTTACTGCTGCATATTTATTTTGGCCTAGATATCTCCTAGATGTCCTGTTCACGTTAGGAACTGGATGCCTGGGTTGCTCTGATTCTTACTGGTGCCTTTGAAAACGTTCTTTCGGATCTGAAGAGGTAAAACTGGTCCTTGAAAACCACCAAAGCAGCTGCAAAATGCTGCAAAATCACATCCCCAGAGCCAAGCTTTCACTGTGGGGCTGAGGTGGAAGCAGACACTGGAGCAGAGCAAAGTTGTTCTGTGCTGCCACCTGTCGCCATGAAAACCCATCCATGAGAGAGGACCAGACTTCACTGTCCAGCCAGGAATTCTGCTGTGCAGCCGAGGGACAGAAAGTGACCTGATGTAAAGTGGGGTTTACAGGTAAAGAGGGTAAAAAATAGTAATAATCATCTTCATAATCACAGAATCCCAGACTGGTTTGGGTTGGAAGGGACCTTAAAGCTCCTCCAGTTCCAAGCTCTGCCACAGGCAGGGAACCCTTCCCCTAGAGCAGCTTGCTCCAAGCCCCTGTGTCCAACCTGGCCTTGAACACTGCCAGGGATGGGGCAGCCACAGCTTCTCTGGGCACCCTGTGCCAGCGCCTCAGCACCCTCACAGGGAAGAGCTTCTGCCTAAGAGCTCATCTCAGTCTCCCCTCTGGCAGGTTCAAGCCATTCCCCTTGGCCTGTCCCTACAGGCCCTTGTCCCAAGCCCCTCTCCAGCTTTCCTGTAGCACTGGGAGCTGCTTCTTAAATCTTAAAGGAATGTTTCTTAAACACAGAAAAATACTTTATTAAAAAAAAAAAAAAGTGAAAATATAAACACATGCAAATTTAGGATTTAGGAATCACAATGAGGATCAAATCCTTGACAGAAACAACTCTGCCAAGTTGTAAAGCAGTGGAAGAAACTCTCCCAGTACACAGAACAGTAACTGCACTGCATCTCCTGTTGTCTCTGCACTACTGTACATTTATACAGCCCTCTCTGGGATTTCCCTGCAAACCTCCCTAAAGCTGCAGCAAGGGAAGAGGCCCATTTTATCCAGAGATCAGTGGCCAAAGATGCATAGGGACTGCCCACAGCCATGCCATATCCTTTGTTAACCACAGCCTCAGAATATCCCAGGCATCACTCCCAACCCTGACCTGACAAACAAGGGTGTACAGCACACACAGAAGAGCTATTCAAGATGAATACATGGATGTGTATTTCTGTATGCCATTAAGTCTGCTACAGCAGAGCTCACAAATTATACCATCTATAAGAGATATATATATAAAATGTATACAGATCAGAACTGAGGCTTGCACCATAGTTGCATTTGTACAGTCCTGACTCCAAGGACCACAGTCCAGCTCCTTAATAGTCTTGTGTATGTTAACACTGCAGGATGGTGCTTGCTGTGACCCCTGAATTCTAGGAAATACTTCACTTCCCTGAAGCTCAAAGAGGGTAATTCTGGTTTGTGCCCCACAAACAGAAGCCAGGTCCTTACCTCTCCATCAGCCACTGCAGAGTAATTCACTTGTGCGACGGTGACTGTGGTGGGCAGCTCTGAGGCATCAGCCAATGTGGCAACTGTGGCACCGGTGCCAACCTATGGGAGTCAACAAAATGCAGGGAATACATTTGTTATTGCAGGGCAATGTCCACAGGATTCAGGCAAAGGGACACTCAAATGTTCTCACATTCAAAAGCATCACATCCACAGGAAGTATGGTCTGAGTAGTAATTGCAGAGCTCATGGAAGATATGGGGCTGTCTCAAAGGGCTCAGGGAGGAAATCATGGAATGGTTTGGGTTGGAAAGGACCTCAAGATCATCCAGTTCCAACCCCTACCACAGGCAGGGACCCCTTCCACTGGAGCAGCTTGCTCCAAGCCCCTGTGTCCAACCTGGCCTTGAACACTGCCAGGGATGGGGCAGCCACAGCTTCTCTGGGCACCCTGTGCCAGCGCCTCAGCACCCTCACAGGGAAGAGCTTCTGCCTTATCTCCAACCTGAACTTCCCCTGTTTCAGTTTGAACCCATCACCCCTTGTCCTATCACTCCAGTCCCTGATGAAGAGCCCCTCTCCAGCATCCTTGTAGCCCCCTTCAGACACTGGAAGCTGCTCTGAGGTCTCCACGCAGTTTCTCTTCTCCAGGCTCAACAGCCCCAACTTTCTCAGCCTGTCTCCATACAGGAGCTGCTCCAGCCCCTGAGCATCCTCATGGCCTCCTCTAGACTTGCTCCAACAGCTCCGTGTCCTTCTGATGCTGAGGACACCAGAACTGCACACAGTGCTGCAAGTGGGGTCTCCCCAGAGCACAGCAGAGGGGCAGGATCCCCTCCCTGAGCTGCTGCTCACGCTCTGGGGGTGCAGCCCAGCACATGGGGGGGTTCTGGGCTTAAGCGCTCACTGAAGCTGGGTCATGGGGAGCTTCTCACCCAACACCACAATTGCTTCTCTGTCCAACCTGTAGCTGTGCCTGGGATTGCCCTCACCCAGGTGTAGGAATCACTGGAGCCATGTTAACCAACAGTAGTTCCAGAGTGGATATGTCCTAGAAGCAAGTTTCGCACAGCCCTTGTGCTGTCCCCTATGCTCATGAGGAGACAAATCCTCACCATTCTCCCATTCTCCTCCTTACAGGGAGCAGCAGTGGGACACTGCTGTCATTCCCAGGTGTGAACATGAGGCGGTGGTGGAGACAGGATGCTTCTCCTATGGGGTGGGAGTTACTTAAACCACTGAGTAGTCCTGGCTCAGAACACCCTGCACATCAGCCCTCATTCATAACACTCCTTGCTTACCATACACTGGGTCTCTCATCTCCAGGCACTTGTCAAACATTAGCACGTGCTCAATACCCCCACTGCCTTTGGAAATTACCTTTTCCCCATTTAACAGCTGGGAAAGGACAAAGGCAGGGAGGTGTAGCTTTGTCTCTAAGGAGAATTAAACCTATAAATGCCAGAAATTCAATGGTTTCAGGTGCCCAGCATCTAAAAGAACACCAGTCAAAGGGAAAACGTGTGTTAGCAGGTGAGCAGACAGAACCAGCCTGGCAAGTCTGCCTAGCCTTGGTGGGAGAACAGAAAGCTTAAGAACTGCTGACAAGCTTTCATTTGAGAAAACAAACAAGCCCAAAACAAAGCCCCACACCATGAGTTTTATCTTTAGGGTTGTGAGAAAAGAGCTTTAGATGTCACTAAAACCATGATGCTCAAGAGGGACAGAGTGCTGGGACAGCTGGGTACCAGAGGGCAGTGGTGGTTTGTAGGCAGGGGCACAGGGGGAGCTGAGGTTCAAATCCCACATCCACAAGGGGCTCTTGGGAGGTTTCAAGGGAGTACTTCAGTTTTTGTCACCCTGAGCTGCCAGAATCTGCCTCCCCACACTGGGGACACAGGGAAAACAACAGCACCACTGAGCCCCTGCCTGAACGCAGCCTCTTCTGCCCTGAATCCCCCTCTCTAAAATGGTTTAAGAGGCATCTTTACCAAAGAGGATCATAGGAATAAGAATCCTAAGACAGATATATATTCAGTGTATGTAATATACATATATATTACACTTTAGGTATAAGATGAGGAACAGAGGGTACAGAAATACTTACTGACATAGACTAAGCTGTTTCATGCCATTAAAGAAAGGCAGTTTCACCACCTCTCCTCCCATCACTCCCTCCCACTGCCAGCACAGGCCTTGTGTGGCCACATCATGAATTGTATTTGTTCATAAATGAGTTAATTAAACTCAGGTCAGCTCCCTGAATCACTTGCCCAAATAGCTGCAGGAATCCTTGTGCTGCCATAAGAGAAGACCAAGAGATGGGAATGTGGAAGAGAGGATGAGGCTGCTGCTTTGGGTGGCAGTACTGGCTTAACAAGCCTGAGGGCTGAGACATACAGATAAAAACAACATTCATGAAGGACAAATTAAGCTACCAAAAGGAGATTGCTCCAAACCACCTCTCATGCAGACAACTCAATCCCAATTCAGTCGTGTTGGAAATGGCAAAGCCAGAGGGTTTCACTCACCTGGATGAGGGACACGGTGCCATCAGGGTTACTGAAGGTTTGTACCACTGTCTGTGATGGCACAAGGTGTGCTATACTATGCGTGGTCGTCGTCTGCTGCTGTGTCTGCTGATCCTCAAAGGCATAGAGCAGGTCCTCACGCCCGTGCTGCTTGTAGCAGTTCTTCACAATCGTCCGCAGGGCCTGGGTCCATGAGACCTGCCAGGAAAATGAGAGAGTGAAGAGACCGTGTAAGAAAGCTTTCTGAGGCACTGCAGGGCTGTTACAGCCATGATCTGTGTGCTTAGCATAGAATCAACCAGGTTGGAAAAGACTTTTAAAATCAAGTCCAACCACTCCCCAGCACTGCCAAGGCCACCACTGACCCATGGCACTGAGGCCTCGTCTCCACGCTGTGTGAACACTTGCAGGGACGGTGCCTGCAGCCCTGCCCTGGGCAGCCTGTTCCAATGCCTGAGCACCCTCTGGGGCAGGAATTGTTCCTCAGCTCCATCTAAACCTGCCCTGGTGCAGCTTGAGGCCGGTTCCTCTTGTCCCATCCCTTGTTCCTTGGGAGCAGAGCCCAGCCCCTCCTGGCTCCATCCTCCTGTCAGGCAGTTGGGGGCAGCCATCAGGTCCCCCCTGAGCCTTCTCTTCTCCACACTGAACCCCCCAGGTCCCTCAGCCCTTCCCCATCACCCCTGTGCTCCAGGCCCTGCACCAGCTCCGTGCCCTTCTCTGGCCCCGCTCCAGCCCCTCAATGTCTCTCTTGCAGTGAGGGGCCCAGAGCTGAACACAGGATTCGAGGTGTGGCCTCACCAGTGCCCAGTGCAGGGGCACCATCACTGCCCTGGCCCTGCTCCTGCCCTGGTGCTGGTACAGGCCAGGATGCTGGTGGCTTCCTGGCTGCCTGGGCACAAGCTGCTCATGTTCAGCTCCATCATTCAGCACCCTCAGGTCCTTTTCCACCAAGCAGCTTTCCAGCCACTCTTCCCCAAGCCTGGAGCAACAGGCTGCAGGTGAACACTTACTGGGTTTTCTTGGGCCATTTTCAACAAATTGTCTAACAAAACGCCCCAATACCTAATCCCTCTCATCCCCTCTCCTTTCCCCAAGATTCAGAAATCACCCTGGAGAGCTCTTGCGTTGCTGTGTAATGATACAGAACAAGCACATCTGGCTAAGGGATAGCGAAGCTTTGCGAAGAAACGTTTCACCAGCTTTCAAGGAATTCTAACCAAGGTACTGGGACTGAGAAGTAGAAAATCATCTCTACTTAGAAAAGCATTGACTGCCACAGCACCATTTCCAGCCTCACCAGGCATCCCTCCCCATCCAAGCAGACCTGTATTATCGAATCACTGAATCACAAGTTGGTTTGGCTTGGATGAGCTTCAACGTGCCTTCCAACCCAGACCATTCTGTGATTTTATGAAAGGTCAATGTCACAGCTTCTTCTGTCACTCGAGGGGAGAAGTATTCCCACACAACGTGGTTCCAAGCCACTGTGCTCCATTTGAAGGCAGCAGACGTGGCAGATACACACCCGCTGCTTCTGTTCCTCTGTGCGGACATCGCTGCGGACGTTGGCCCATGGGATGTCCTCAGGCCACCAGATGGGCTTGCAGCTTTCCTTGCCCCAGCCTGGTTTCCCACGACCCGTGGAATACTTCAGCATCTCAGGGATGAAAGCTCGTAGCTGTGCCTGGAACAAAGCATAAAAGAGGGTTGAGAGGGTGTTTTTAGGAACTCGTATCTCTGGTAGGTTTAAGGTGCATAGAGAAAGTTATTACATTTAACTTCCAGCCTGTTGGAACCATCAACTGGAAGAGGCCTGAATGCCTAAAGAACATGGACAAATACTTTACCATCTTCTTCCAAGACTCAGCTGAGAACTACCTAGAGCAGAAACACAATTAAATCAGCCAAATACAATAAGGCACAAAAACAAACTGCATGAACACAGTTCACGGTGCGAACGCTACCATGAAGAGACCTTGCCAACCTGAAAGGGAAGGGAGAGATGTAAATCCAAATAACACAGAGAAAAACCCACATTTGATATCCCCACAGTGACAGGAACTCAGAGCTGAGCTGATGGGCATCCTACAGAGATGCTGCAATGGTGGTGGAGCTTCAGGGAGCCACTAAAAACCAACCTCACACATAACTTCTCCACCCCTGCAGAACATAATGCACACTGGATTGATTTTCTGCATCTCTTTGTAACCATGCTTGAATGGGGACACTTTTCAACCTGATTTTGCTTCTCTTTAGCACCCACAAAAACTGCTCAACTAGTGACCACCTGCACCAGCAGGAGACAATACCTTAAAATAGATGTGCAAAGCAAATCGAGCAGAGCAAGTAATATCATCAGTGTTATCAAAGAGAACGTGAAGCTCACACAGGGGTTTATGACACAGGGGGTTTTGTACCAGGCAATGCCTGGAGCCTCAGGACAAGGCTGGTTCAGCTGCAGAACAGAGCAGGACGACAAGGAGCACTCAAGACCAAATCATAGCATCAGCTATGTTGGGAAAACCTTTAAGATCATCAAATCCAAATACATCAGAGAAAACTATGCTGACTTAAAGCTGAATAGCTGCATTTAAGAACAAACCCTTGCATCTCTTCATGGCTTTAAGAGCAAATTACTTGAACTGGTGATAGTGGCACTGGGAGCCCCCAGGCCACCTTAAAACCTGGAGCTGCCTGCATGTTCATGGCTCTGGAGCACACCCATGGATGAGCACGCCAGGGCCAGCATCAGTTGCTGCCATTACATGGTCCCAGCCAGCAGAGACACGGGGCAGCTCAAGGAGGACTTCTCACCCATCCCTGATCTTCTGCAATAAGTGTCCCTTCCTCTCAGCCATAATCCTGCTTGAATGACATCCTAGTTCCAGTCTGGATATTGCAACCTCTGGCTTCAAGCTGAAAACCAACTCATGTACAAGCTGCCTTTTCATGTTAGTACAGGGGGCATGTACAAAGTCCCCTGTAACATCAGTCTGACAGAGGAATGCTCCAGAGGAACAGGAGACTGCAGATTGTCCCTCGGGTCTCTGCAAAGAAGGACAATAAGGCAATAAAAGGACATTAAAGGCAATAAAAATTCAGTGTGCTTCTGGGTCCATATGTAGTATATGTGCTGCTCACCATAGAAGAATCACCCCTGCTCAGCAGCTGTATTTTATTCCTACTTAATGGGCATGATGAACCATCTCACAGGAGCCATACCAAAACCCTGAATCATAAATGGAAGCACAAAAAGCCCATTTCGGTGCCCATTTGCCCAGTCCAGGCCAAACCTACCCATGGTGCATCTTCCACTGCAGGGCCAACAGTCATAGAATCACAGAATCCCAGACTGGTTTGGGTTGGAAGGGACCTTAAAGCTCCCCCAGTTCCAACCCCTGCCACAGGCAGGGACCCCTTCCACTGGAGCAGCTTGCTCCAAGCCCCTGTGTCCAACCTGGCCTTGAGCACTGCCAGGGATGGGGCAGCCACAGCTTCTCTGGGCACCCTGTGCCAGCGCCTCAGCACCCTCACAGGGAAGAGCTTCTGCCTAAGAGCTCAGCTCAGTCTCCCCTCGGGCAGGTTCAAGCCATTCCCCTTGGCCTGTCCCTACAGGCCCTTGTCCCAAGCCCCTCTCCAGCTTTCCTGCAGCCCCTTTAGGCACTGGAGCTGCTCTAAGGTCTCCCCTTCAGGAGCCTTCTCTTCTCCAGGCTGCCCCAGCCCAGCTCTCTCAGCCTGGCTCCAGAGCAGAGCTGCTCCAGCCCTCGCAGCATCTCCATGGCCTCCTCTGCACTCGCTCCAACAGCTCCACGTCCCTCTTGTGCTGCTGCCCCAGAGCTGGATCAGGACTGCAGGGGATGTCACCCGAGGTTCCCTGGTTGAGGCCCCATTATCCATATGAACCTGCCCCTGGCACTGAGTTTTCTGGTGCAAAAATAGTTAAAAGCTCCTTCCCTGGATCGCTGTGTGCAAGCCAGGCTCCTTGTTACCAGCTGGATTAATCACTGGTCCCAGGTAATTGAGCAGCTCAAGCTACTCAAGGCACTTGTTAAGGAGGGCTTGCCTCTAATCCACCAGGGAGACAATCAGCACCAGCATTTCTCTAATTAGGGCCATAACAAAACCTCACCCTCACAGGGCTCTGACACTGGGTATGGCACAGGGACAAAGACCCCACATCCCTCAGGACACAGCAGGAGGAACTGCTGTGACCTGGAGCCACAGTTCTGCTGACTCCATCTATGAACCACCCCAGAATCAAACCTCTGCTAAGAAAAGACAGCAGCACATTCCACTTCCTACAGCTGGCAGCTCTGGAAAGGGCCCATATAAACTCCAGTATGGATGGTTTGAGAGAAGCTATAAGCACTGATTCATTCTCACCCTTTGGTACACAGACTATCTCCTAAATTCTAACATCAAACTCAAGTGTTACTGGTAATGAGCTAATCCTGATTCTACCATTTGCACTAGCCCAAAGCACAAACTGCACTCCAGTGCTGGAAACAAGTTGTCCTGCACTCAGAGCACCAAGCAATCCTCTGGTCTCAAGGTTTATGCCCTGCTACAGGAAGTGGTTTCTAGAAGGGAGCAAAACCTGTGGCTGCAGATTTGCTACCTTTGCCCATAGTTCAGCCTCAGGATCTCCAAAAAGCAGCACATGGGAAAAGCAAAGTCCAGTCCACGTGGGAAGAGGAAAGTGGAAGAGGTCAAAGCAGCAATTACAGCAAAGCACCAAGGTATTTCCTTCATGGTCCCCTCTTTTTGCAACAGCCAATTTGAGACTAAATGTTAAGTTGAAAAGTTCCAATTAATGTTTAAACACTCAGATTAAAAATCCAGGCTTCTGTTAAGGTGGCTGTCACCAGGAATTTCCTGCTATGAAAACCCACCTGGCTCTGACAGAACTCAGAGGTCTCACTGGTGGGATGAGAATGAGCTCCCCATCATAAATCCATTCCAGCAAAGATAAGGTGCAGGATCAGGCTGCATGTCTTTAACCAGAAGCAATAGCACTCAGCAGAATAGTTTATGCCTGGCCACAGGAATCAAACCCAGTATCAATACCCTGTTCACCAGTGCAAAAGCAGGAGGTTCTGTGGGGCTCCCCATAGACGTGTCTGCTCACAGCTTCACTCTTTATGCAAATCTTTCTTCTCTTCCACTCCAAAACCAAGATCAGGCTGTTAGAATGAGGCTACCTGAAATGTTTCAGAGGGGCACGTTTGGGGACCAGGCTGTGGGATCACCAACTCCTGGTAGAGTTTGGAGACCTGAGCCTGGACATGATTGGTCTTGCTGGAAACAAGGCATGATGCAGACTGAGCTTAAATGCTGTAAGAGCAGGGAGCTGCCTGCATGAGAGTTCAAGTACACACTCATCCCTGCTTCCAGGACCTTGCAGGACTCACTGCCCTTTCCACTGCTGGAACAACCATCCGATGCTGGAGCTCAGCTGTGCAGCAAACCTGATTCCTAATCTGGGTGCCTCCACTGCAAAACATGGATGCTCCCTCTGCTACATGCCAATGTCCTGCCAGGAGAGTGGAAACAGGCTGTTCTCACACCATACCTCTGATAAGGAGCAAAAGGAAGCACCAGTAAGCCTCATGCCTAGGCAATGGGTCCAGCACTGCAGGATCATCCCTGCCCCACCATAAAGAGAATTTGATAGCCACAGACCAAGTTACCACCTTTCAGTGCCTGGCTTCTCCTAAATACAAACTGCTATGTACATAAAGACATCTGCTGGGTTTTGCAGCTTTTTTCAGTCCATATGCAAACAGACATCAAGATGATTTCTGAGAGGCTTGGATAAACTTTGTTGGCCTGTATAAGCAGACTGCAAGTAATAGGGGCATATTAAGCCTATAAAACATCAGATTAAAGCAACAATCACCTGTTCAGAATACAAATCCTAGTGAATTTGAATCCAGCTAGTGACCTCAGTGAAGCATTAATCTCAGCTTATGACTTTCTCCTTAGTTAGATTAGTGAGCAACTCAGAACAAGTTTAGGGGCAAACTCAGCTCTGACATAGTGTCAATGTGGCCAAAGCCCATAAAGCAACAAGTTTTCTCTGCAGGTTAAAACCCCATTGCAACACATTGGTTTTGATGCACAACCAAGGTGGGTAATTCTCTCTACTCAGGATACAGATCATCTTTGCTCCAGCTACCAAAGCCTTTATTTTCCTCAAGACCCCCAGGGAAGCAGAGCAATTAGGAGAAGAGTTATTTTCCTCTCCTCACTGAGGAGGTAACACCTCTACCACCTGCAGCTCCTGAAAGCAGAGGCCTCATGTTTCCACTCCCTGTGACACAGCTAATAATTGTGCTGCCCGATTTATATCTATACACGTTTCAGTTTTCCATTGGGTTTGTGGGTTGAAAAAGCTCCTTCCTTGTTACAAAAGACAAAGAAACTATAGTAGCAGCTCTGGGAATCAAGGTGCCTCCAAAAACCTAATGGCACCTCTAGCAGTGCAACAGGTTGCAGTGATGTAGGAGTCAGAGTTCTCGTCCACTTGCTCAAATGAATGTATCTCAAATTGCAGTCGTGGCAAAAAACCCAGACAGTATCATGTCCTCATCGTATTCAGCACATCTGTGCTTTGCTCTATTCAGAGATTCTCCCCAAGTCTGTCAAAACTAAACAGCTGGATGTTTTCAGCAGCAAAATCATCTCCAAGCAGCACATGCAGCATCTTACTCCTTGATGTAATCCACGCAGGGGTCTGCAGTCCTGACCATTAATTCTAGTGCTGTGTCCTCACGTGGCCTGCAGCCATTTAAGGACCTCAAAAACCATTAAAGACATTTACAAAGCAGCATCTCTCTGATAAGTGGGGAAACTGAGGCACTGGGTGCCCACAACACATGTGCACACCACAGTGGGCTGGGCTGAGGCAGTGACGGCTAGCCAAATGGGACACAAAGAGCATGGGCCCTGTCCATAGCTCAGGAGAAACCTTAACAAAGCTGCTTGGAGTTACCACGTTGTAGTAAAAAGGTGAGGGCTACTCCTAACAAGATACTTGGGTTGCCATAATGCAGCATGGGATGGCTCTACGTTGCTGTTGCCTCAGCAGTTTGCATGCTTGCTGACCACAGGACCTGCAGAGCATGGAGAAGACAAGACATTCCTCGTTTAACAGAGGCAAAACAAGGCTGAGAACACAGGAGTGTTGTGTGTAAGGGGGGAGAAGGAAAGCCCTGCCAGCAGCTTGTGCCTTGGACTGAAGAGCTGCTTCACATGTGGAAAGGCAGAGCAGTCAAACCCCAAGGGCAACTTGGCTTGGCCAGATCTCTGTGCAAGGCTTCCTGAAGACCAAGCCCATGTTATGCTTGCAGGAAAACATCCCAGGGACTCTTCATCAGGGCCTGTAGCAATAGGACAAGGGGTGATGGGTTCAAACTGAAACAGGGAAGTTCAGGATTGAGCTAAGCTCTTCCCTGTGAGGGTGCTGAGGCGCTGGCACAGGGTGCCCAGAGAAGTGGTGAATGCTCCATCCCTGGCAGTGTTCAAGGCCAGGTTGGCCAGAGCCTTGGGTGACATGGTTTAGTGTGAGGCATCCCTGCCCATGGCAGGGGGTTGGAACTGGGTGAGATCTTAAGGTCCTTTCCAACCCAAACCATTCTGTGCTTCCATCACCAGCTTTCTTTTTAGCTTAACATGAAAAGTATTAGTATTTTACCCATGGAATTCTATGGATATTAGTATTTCATCCATAAAACAGAAGCAGAAATCACTTCTGCAACCTTTGATGTTAAAATAGTTAATATCCAAGTGTATCACAAAACCCAAAACACCATGCACTATAAATCCAGCTGAAGGCTCCTGTGAAGTGAGAACTTGTCACTTTTATTGCTGCTTTCATGGCATGTGCAACTTGAGCAGCCAAACACCTGATAGATCTTTTTATTGGCCCTTTTATACGCGCACACATTCTGCACAGGGCAAACCAGAGACGTTTCTCAGATGTGTTCCTGGATTGCAACCACCCCACGTCCTGCTCTCATTCCTCCACACTCACTTCTCTCTCATTTCCAGCACTTCACCACCACCAGCTCATTGTCTTTGTGCCTTCCTCTGAGCCCACAAGCTGTGGGTATGGGTACCTCCAGCTTCACTACTCACATCACCCTAGGGTAGCCTTCAGCAAATCTCCACATAGATGTCTCCTTCTCCTTGCTTTAAGCCGTAAGCACTTCTCCTGCTGTTACTGAGTTTAATTACTACAATGATAAGGCCATAAAGAAGTTAGATAAACACAAGCATGCTGTTTGCCAATACAAACGAACTCAGATACATTCCTGTGATCTTTTGAGGCTCTGATTTTACCTTCAAAGTACAGTGTTTGTAGTTTTTACTTTCCCATTTCCATAGGAAACTGTTAATGACACAAACCAAAAGCTGCCTGTGAACAGTTCTTGCAGATACCACCTTTAGCAATGGCTTAAAAATCCAGCAATTATGTTTTGCCTCGTGCTGCCATGGATTAGGAACACGTTCTGTTACCGGTCAAGGCATAGTAGATTTCTTTGTGAAGTTTTATTAGAAGTGTGAGCTTGTCTGATTCCAACTCAATGGAAAAAATGTTGTGACCAGAACGTGATCTTCTGCAGAGCACAGAGGAAATCTGTACATCTTTGCTCTCCTACAACACCTCTTTGTACATTGCCCAAAGCCTCTGACCTTCCCTTCTCGCTACTCCCTCCAAAGAAACTGGCTTGCAGTGTTTAAAATGTGTTGTGGTGCATCAAACTGAAAGTCTCCTGCAAAGCACATCTGCCTCCATTCAGCTCCTGCACCCCAGGGGAAGAATTCCCTACAGACAATCCCTCCCACACCAAGAAGGCTTCCCTAGGGGGGCCCCATCCACTTTCTCCTAGCAATAAGGAGGTCAGCAAAGAGCTGAACATGAAGAGAATCCCCCACATGCTTACAGCAAATAATTCCGTCTTCATCAGAAGTATCTCACACAAGGTCTGATCTGGAGTTAACTATCGGCAAGCTCCCCTCTGCCCCAATCCACAGCAGAAAACAAAGCAGGGAATGAACTCGAGCGCACAAAAAAAGGTCCAAGGAGCATAAGCCAAAACAGTTCTCCACCAGCAAACTTCCTGACCTCAGAGCCTAAAAACCACTGTGAAGTGCCAAATAGCTTCCCTGTTCATAGCTTATGGGAGGTGACAAAGAGGGACTCTCCCAGCAGCCTGATCTGCTTACCAGCATTTCTACTTTTTCATGTAGAAAATGAGTACCAGTAACAAAGCTTCCCATCTAACTACTATCTGAGCTGTTACATTCCCATGGGGAAGAGGAGATCAAATGCATCCCCTGGAGATGCAGACATAAGCTCCACTGCAAAATAACAGATGTGGCTGCAAGATGCCAAATCTTTCTCTGGTTCTGCCATGCCTGCCTGCTTACCTGGGTCATCTTGTCCACTGAGACAGGAATGCCATCGATGGTGAGGGGTGGCAGCTCAGAGTTAATCTCCTGAGGAGCAGGAGCGTGTTCCGCTAGTGCAGACTCCAGGTCTTCCAGGATCATGCTCTTGTACTTGCGTACCTGTAGGGAATCATTAAGCTCAGGTAAACAAGGTAGGGAGCACCAGGAGAGGTGAAGGCGAGGATGCAGGGCCAGCCACCTTCCCCAGGGTGCTGTGGAACAGAAGGAGCAAACAAGAAGCTGGCAAGAAAAACATACCCACTGGCCCTGAGGACTCAGCTGTATCAAAGAGCTGCTGATGAAACATCGAGTAACACTGGCAAGGGAAAGTATTTAAGGGATTAAAAGTTCTGAAGCAAAAGTTATCATCGTCAGGATCTCCTCAATTTACTGTCTGGTCTGCAACAAGGTGCAAGCACTGACAGCTGAGCTGAGCTCAAACACATCATCCCTATGGGCTCCTTCTGCCTTTAAATGCAGGATATTCAGCCCTGGTGAGCTGAGCTGAGCAACCACTGACACAGAGAAGTCAGGACCTCAGTGCTACCCTCATGTCCTTACAATCTGAACTCCTGTTTCCAGGGTTTTAAACAGGACTTTCAGATCACTACCAGCCTTGCAAAGCTGCCTGGAGCAGAATGAAACCCACAGAGAAGGTGAACCACTTCTTACACAGCTTTTCCTAGAGACACCTACCACGTTCTCCAAGGGTGCAGCACCAAATACTTTAAAGACAGGGTTGGGTTTGGAGGGCGAGATGCAGAGAACGATGGCCTGCTGCCCCACTCTGGTGGTGTACTCATCCAGCGTGGCTCGGAGCTTCCTGAAACACAGGCAGTGAAACCAGCTGAAAGCCCTGCAGAAACACAACCCTTCACATTGTAAATTCCCTTTCTTAATGCTGCCCATTCAGAAACCAGGTGAGAAGTGGAGCCCCAGATGGTTAGACCAGCCCCATATCCTGCTTATTCCTCCACTCCCGCAGGCCTGCTGTGTTCCCTGCAGTCACCAGCAGCTCAAATATCACTTATTCTCCTTTCTTTCCTTTTTCCATTGATGTAGAAAGGAAAACAAAATCAGCAGAGCAGCAAAGCCAGGACAGCAAGAGTCTGCATATCCCCTCTGTCACCAAAGGGTATTATACAAAACTTGGAAGGTAAAGAACTTAATGATTCATCAAAAGAGGACTGCAAATAGAGGTTATTTCACATCCAACCTTGTAACAGAGCACTGCAACAGGTAACCTCAGCACTCCATGGTGCCAGGGCAGTATCGGCCCTGGGACTTCAGAACCCACTGGTTACAGCAGACCTGTTGCCAAGAAGCACCAACATCTGCTATAGAGATCCCAAAACCAGAAGCTGTAACTTCCCACTTTGATTTAGTGGTGTAAAAATCAGGCAAAAATGTGCTAAAAGGGTGCAAAAAACCCCATGCATTTTGCCACTATCTGAAATGTAGTCAAATGAAGCAGTTGCACGGAGGGAGGAGAAAGAATTCCTTTACAGAGGAGTTTCTTTAAAACAATATTGTTCATAGTTCAAGAGAGAAAAGAATCTGCTCTTCAGAAAGGTTGCAATGAATAGAGCTCAGTCAGCAAAGCTTGGAGAAGGAAGGAAAAGCAGAATAGAGCTATAAAAGAAAGGGAATCCACTCCCAGGAAATATTTAACACTAGCTCCGTTCCACTTGGCTCCTGTTTGAGCTGGTGCAGAGGGTGTTGTGGGACTCAGCAGAGGAGTAAGCAGAATAAGGAAACCAACTTAATTTCTCACTAAGAATTACACTAGGAGACAGGGAAATAAGGCAAACCTCTGTCCAACACTACTCCAGTGCATTAAGTGTATACACAAGGGGAAGTCAGCAAAAAAAAGTGTCAAATACCCCTGCCTCCTCTGACATAACCCAGTTACATCCAAATCAGTTTAAAAGGCAAAAACTCCTTTGTTCCAAATCCTAGTAAATAATATCAACTGCTATTTGCAAGTGTTTCCTGATGGGTTAGCAGATGACGTCTCCAGGCATGCAGGAAGCCTGTGCAGTCAATTCAGCACCAGCGTTCCTTGGTGGCCACCAGGCGGGCAGACAGCCTCAGAGCACCTGTAATGCAGCACCTGAAGAGCTGTGGAGGTTTGGCGTCTGCAGAGCAAGTTGCTGAAGCCAAAGGAAGTGTTTCAGCTCTGGCATGCATTTCCCTTTCATTATTCTCCCCCAAAACTGTGAACTAAAGGCTGGGTAAGACTTCAGTCTTAAGGGGAGACCTTAGAGCAGCTCCAGTGCCTAAAGGGGCTGCAGGAAACCTGGAGAGGGGCTTGGGACAAGGGCCTGTAGGGACAGGCCAAGGGGAATGGCTTGAACCTGCCAGAGGGGAGACTGAGCTGAGCTCTTAGGCAGAAGCTCTTCCCTGTGAGGGTGCTGAGGCGCTGGCACAGGGTGCCCAGAGAAGCTGTGGCTGCCCCATCCCTGGCAGTGTTCAAGGCCAGGTTGGACACAGGGGCTTGGAGCAAGCTGCTCCAGTGGAAGGGGTCCCTGCCTGTGGCAGGGGTTGGGACTGGAGGAGCTTTAAGGTCCCTTTCAACCCAAACCATTCCATGATTCATTAGGTAGGTAAGACCTTTGTGCCACTGGAATATGACTGTAGCTCCAGATTCTCAGGCCAGCTGCTATTAAAGCCACTGTGAACATTTTACAAGGCAATGTTACAGTGACAGATCCACCTTGTGACCAACTGGGGTAAAACCAGAATGCTGGATCCCACCAGAATGCTCACGACAGTCCTAGTGATCATAACATCACACTGAAGATGAGCAGAGCTGCAATTTAACTGATTTCTTCAACACAGCTTTTGGGCTGCAGAAAAGATGCCACCAAAAAACACCCAAGCTGGGCAATGTCTGGACAGCACTGGAGATAGCCCAGGGATGCAGACTGAGGTGTCAGAGTGCAGGAGGAGCTCTTACCGTAGCAGACGTGTTTGCTGCCTCTTGCGGATGGATGGGTTGGACTCAAAGACGTGTGGTCTCTTCCGTTTTTTACCTGTCGCCACAGCAGCAGCTGCTGCCATCCCCACAGGGCCTGGAAACCAAACCACAGAGGGTCAATCAGCACACTGGGCTCAGGACCTGGCCAGAAGGGACATTGCCATTGCTCCCTACACAGGATGGGTCCCAAGGGATCAGCTTCAAGGGCCTCCCCATCAGACCAGGGCGATGTGAATTCCCCGCTGGATCCCTGCTCTCCAGCAGTATCAGAGATGTGTATCAAAAGGCTCCATTCCCAAGACTGGCAAATCCCAGTTCAGTCCCAGCTGAAAGCCACATATGTTAGTCCAAAGTTTCCCTTATAATCACGTAATTATGTATTTTAACTTCCAAAGAGACTGAAAAACTCTCAAGTACACCAAGACTTCAAATAACTGACTGTAACTGAGGAGATTCCAGTAGCAAGGAAGAAGAGACCAGGTACAACACCATGAATCCTCTTGGACACAACTCCAGCATCAGGAGTCCAAAGCCTTCCCTAGGGATTAAGTGCCAGTTCTAATAGGAAAGTACTGGTAATCCAGAGTTCCCAGCAGCATCCTACAACAGGCCCTTGAAGAATAGTGGAGACCACAGCAGGGCAATGCTATTGCTTTTGTGATCAAACTCTGGACACAGACTCTATGGAAGGGGAAGTTTCCTTAAGTTAATTGGAAGTAAATCAAGTAACATGGAATGGGTTGTGCTCCTGTCTGTGATGTTAGAAAGGAGTGCAGGGTCAGAATCAAAAAGCCCTGGGGTCTACTGCAGGCTCAAGGTCATGCCTGTGACTCCTGAGCAGACCTCAGTCACTCTTTGTGTGGTTCCTCCATGTATCAGAGGTGAAAGATCACACCAGGCTTCATAAAAGCACTCTGTGTTTAACAGAGATGCAGCTATTGGATCAGGAAGTCCTCAGCTAATGATTAGTGGAAGCTGGGAGATGATAACAAGAGTAGTATCTGATGATACATGTTCTCTGACCAACTGCTCTGGGAGACAGTACACGGACAGAGCTCTGGGTGACACTGCAGAGCCAGGTTTGTTAACTACTAACAGACTACCTGAGCACTATTGGTCAGAACTGCTCCATACTGCTCCAAGGATCCTGTGCTTGGGAAAAATAGGATAAAATCACTGTCATTTGGGGGACTGGAAGAATAGTTGCTCTGGAGAAGAGAGGAAAGGCCACACTGGGCTCTTGGGCAAGCTTTGGGCTGGATGTGTCAGTGCCTGCCCTAGAGAAGTAGGGCAGCTCCTGTTTTGGGCTGCCAACCTCTGGCCAGTGGCTGGAGGGGTGCTGTACACCCCCTGCATATGGAGCCACCAGATGTGGCTCCTGCAAACACCACCCAAGCCTGAAAAGCTTGTGTGCTAGAAGAGAGGGGGAAAAGAATCCTACAGGAGCTGAGGTTTGAAAATTCCTAAGGAAAGGGATGCTCAGTGTGATGGTGGAACTCTGCAGGTTCAGTCAAGCACATCAAGAGCTCTGCTCAGCAGAGAAAGTCTTATATAGAGTCAGGTCAGACCCTGAGTGCTTTATCACTGCATTTTTCTCCTCATGGGGTCGATCTGGTACAAGGCAAATGAGGAGGCCATTTGGCTTCACTGAAAGGAATTTGTGGTTCTGGGATGCTTTCCCAGTCCAGATATGCTGGGGACCCTTTGTAGCGTCTCCTGAGAGAGGCCTTGCATGTGAATGTCACCTCCTTGGCTAAGCAAGATAGTGCAGCACTCCTGGGCTATTTTTGCTGTTGTTTATACAGGCTTGAAATAAGCTTGCTCTCTGACATACATTTTAGCTTCACTATTTGAGCAGCACTTACCAAGGACCTTCCTTATTGCACAAACCAGTCTCTTATGCCTCTTCTTACACACAGATAAAGCGATGCAATATCGAAGCAGCTGGCAGACCTTGTGAAGAAGGTCAATAAGCAAGGGCAATAAGGAGATATTCAGAGCATCCCATGGGTGCAAGATCACCACCCACCTACAAGTGCTGTTTGCAGCCTCTGCGAGGATAATCAGGGGCTGGAGCCTGACAGGCTGAGAACACTGGGGCTGTTGAGCCTGGAGAGGAGAAGCTGTGTGGAGACCTCAGAACAGCTTCCAGTGTCTGAAGGGGGCTACAAGGATGCTGGAGAGGGGCTCTTCATCAGGGACTGGAGTGATAGGACAAGGGGTGATGGGTTCAAACTTAATCAGGGGAAGTTCAGGTTGGAGATAAGGCAGAAGCTCTTCCCTGTGAGGGTGCTGAGGCGCTGGCACAGGGTGCCCAGAGAAGCTGTGGCTGCCCCATCCCTGGCAGTGCTCAAGGCCAGGTTGGACACAGGGGCTTGGAGCAAGCTGCTCTAGGGGAAGGTGTCCCTGCCTGTGGCAGGGGACTGGGACTGGAGGAGCTTTAAGGTCCCTTCCAACCCAAACCAGTCTGGGATCCTGTGAATGCCATGTTAAGTGAACAACAGTAATTGTACCTGCTGCAGCCAGGTGGGCAGTGACTTCATCAGTAGCCGTGGAGTTGAGGATGTCAGAGTCATCATAGGACGTGTCCTCTGGTGAAGACGGTGAGTCCTCATCCGCACTGAGCATGCTGTGCTCTGTGTAGGTGGCCACATGGACCTGCTGCACTTGCTGGGCCACCGCATGGGCCTCGATGGTGGCCATGTGCTCTGTTTGGGACACCTCGTGTTCATCCATCAATAACTACTGTTGGAGGAGACAAAAGAAATCACAGGAAGGGGTTACTGACACTGAGGTAAGCGTGGGCAGCAAAAGGTTTCTGAGCCAGCTGGATAAGCAGGATGTGACCACAAGGGAACAGAGATTACCTTCCCAAGTGACAGTGGTCTTTGACAGGGAAATAACAGCTACACCATGAAGCAGAGGAGGAGCTTGAAGTGTCTGGGTTTGAAAATTCCATGCTTCCAAACAACATGGCACAGCACTCAGCCAGTCATCTTTGCTGGAATGGATTCCGTAGCCCTGCAATGCACCACTCACCCACTACATGTTCAGAGGTCTCATCAAAGCTGGCACTTCTTTTTCCCACTTCAGCTTTCAGGGCAGATGTGAGGTGTCCTGACCCATGGCAGGGGATGGGAACTGTATAATCCTAAGGTCCTTTCTGACCAAAACCATTCTGTGATTCTAAGATGCTCAAGGGCGTTACACAATCCCTGTCCTTCAACCTCAGTAGCTCAGAACATAAACAAGGATCCCAGAACAGAAGTTTAGTGGCAGCAAGTTGCATTCTGGAGGCCATTTTTGTCTTATTACTTATTTAGAGTCTAGAAGGAGGCAAAATCATTACAACCCAAGCACAAATATTCGATAAAGCACATTTATTTAATGCATCTAGTGGTAAACCACTGAGCAGGGCACTGGCCCACATGGCATGAACACAAATCTGTGCAGAAGGAACAAGACAGGAGATACACGGGTATTTTCAGTGTGTGGAAAAGGGACAGCACATCTTGAAGATATTTTCAAACTACAGTAGAAGAATTAGGACATCAGCCGAGCCCCAAAACCCCCCAGGACAAACAGCAGAAGGAAACACATGATCACCTGTAGAAAACAGTAACATACACCCAGCAAATTCTGATCCTGGAAGTGCAGTCATTGAAATTAAAGCTCTTGATGACACCCTCTTCATGGAAACCTGTTCAGTTTGTCAGGAGGAAAGAGCTAGGAACATGGATACAGCCACAGAGTGGTGTCAGATACATGGCTGGGTAACTGCTCTATGGAGTCCAGCAAGCCATGTCATTAGCCTGGAGAAGAGAAGGCTCCTGAAGGGGATACCTTAGAGCAGCTCCAGTGCCTAAAGGGGCTACAGGAAACCTGGAGAGGGGCTTGGGACAAGGGTCTGTAGGGACAGGCCAAGGGGAATGGCTTGAACCTGCCCGAGGGGAGACTGAGATGAGCTCTTAGGCAGAAGCTCTTCCCTGTGAGGGTGCTGAGGCGCTGGCACAGGGTGCCCAGAGAAGCTGTGGCTGCCCCATCCCTGGCAGTGTTCAAGGCCAGGTTGGACACAGGGGCTTGGAGCAAGCTGCTCCAGTGGAAGGGGTCTCTGCCTGTGGCAGGGGTTGGAACTGGAGAAGCTTTAAGGTCCCTTCCAACACAAACCAGCCTGGGATGCTATGATCCCACTGTTGCCCCAGCAGCAAAGCACCTGTTACACATCCACACTTGGATTTGAACAGGGATTCCCGCACAGGGGATGAAAGGAAGGTTGTTCTTGGTTAATTTCAGAGATGACCATTTATCATTCCAAAAAAAAAAAAAAAAAAAAGTTTATTCCTGTTTTCCTTCAGACACCAGAACATTTTCAGGTGTAAGGAAACCGTGAGACCTCACCTGGAGTATTGTGTGCAGTTCTGGTGTCCTCAACATAAAAAGGACATGGATCTGTTGGAACAAGTCCAGAGGAGGCCACGAGGATGATCAGGGGACTGGAGCACCTCCTGTATGAAGATCAGCTGAGAAAGTTGGGGCTGTTCAGCCTGGAGAAGAGAAGGCTGCGTGGAGACCTCATAGCAGCCTTCCAGTATCTGAAGGGGGCCTATAGGGATGCTGGGGAGGGACTCTTCATTAGGGACTGTAGTGATAGGACAAGGGGTAATGGGTTAAAACTTAAACAGGGGAAGTTTAGATTGGATATAAGGAGGAAATTCTTTCCTGTTAGGGTGGTGAGGCACTGGAATGGGTTGCCCAGGGAGGTTGTGAATGCTCCATCCCTGGCAGTGTTCAAGGCCAGGCTGGATGAGGCCTTGGGTGATATGGTTGAGAGTGAGACGTCACTGCCCATGGCAGGGGGGTTGGAACTTGATGATCTTAAGGTCCTTTCCAACCCTAACTATTCTGTGATGCCTGCAAAGACATTTCCTGGTAGCTGCAGCTCAGTCCAGAAGCCCTGGATGACAGCCAGAAGGATTTTGAAGTCATTTAAACTGCTTAAAAAAACATGAGGATAAAGTCCTCTCATCACAAAGTGCAGCTGCCTCATGACCATGTCAGGGGTTCTTTTGATGTACTGTCAACTATAATCAATGGCTGTTGACACCATCGCTGGAAGAACACCAGATGCAGGAGGAACAAAGCTCACGCAGCAGAAGCCAAACCATTCAAACCAGCAGAAAACAGAAAGTGAACAGAAAAGCCATAAATTCTACATTAAATTTAAACCCACATGGATTAAAATGAAGTTTTTGTCTGCTCAGCATAATCTGTGGTGTGAATGTAAGGAGATACAACTCAACCCATACAAAACCACTGTAGAAACTGTCCTCTGTCATCGCCATCTGGTTTCATGTTGCTCATGGGTGCTTTAAACTGAGCCAAAAATAAGAAGTCCACAGCAGAAAAAACGATGAGGTTCATCAGCATGACTGGAAAAGCTCTTGCATGGACAGGACCAGGGCTTATTTTTAACCTTTAGACCACTGAAGTGGTTTTAGTTCAAATGCTGTGGAAGACAAGACACTGCCCTCTGAGACAGGCTTAACTCGTGACAAGCAGTGCTCTGCTGGCATTGGAAATCATTCATCCAACATAATGCCCAATTCACCCAAACCCCTGCTCAGATGAACAGTGCATGAAAGAATCACTGGGTCTCACTTCCTCAGCAGTTTCAATGATGGAAATATGAATTATCTGAATGAAGACAGAAGGAGAAGAGCTGAGATGCAGAACGGTTTGACAGAGACCTGCTCTCTGCTCTCCCATGCACGCACACAGCTCATTCCAGCCATGGGCTCAGATCCTTCCTGAGAGAGACCCGAGGGAATGCAGGGGCAGAGGTTTTAAGTGAAAAGAGGGGAGACTTAGATGAGACATAGGGAAGAAATGCTTTATGGTTGGGATGGTGAGGCGCTGGCACAGGGTGCCCAGAGAAGCTGTGGCTGCCCCATCCCTGGCAGTGTTCAAGGCCAGGTTGGACACAGGGGCCTGGAGCAAGCTGCTCTAGTGGAAGGTGTCCCTGCCCATGGCAGAGCTTGGAGCTGGAGGAGCTTTAAGGTCCCTTCCAACCCAAACCATCCTGGGATTCTATGATTCTACCATTCTGAAAGGGGGTGCTAACAGGTAACAGCCTCGTCAGCATCCAAAATACCAAAAATAAAGCTCTCCTGGCCAAGTTTTGCAACCAAACCTTCCTTCTTCTTGTGCCTTACAGACCTCACATGAGGAGCAAACCTCTCCTCCATAAGCCAACACCACACAGTCCAAGAAAGTCACAGTGAAGAAAGGCGAATTGTCCTTCTTGTACATACAAAGCTTTGCATTTTCTTTGTGAATAACCCTGGTTGTCCGAATTCAGGCTTCATATTTGGTACCAGGAGTGACCACTGTAAGCAGAACACAAGGGAAGAGCTCACCTGTATCCTGCAACAGCATCCACATAAAGATGAGGATGGCATTGGTATAACATAGAAGAATTAGCTAAGCACCAACAGCAGATAGAGGCCAACTCACACAGCCTGTGCACAACTTCTCCTAATCAAAGGTTTGGGGAAGAATGAAATCCCATCCCAGCCAGCTGCATGGCACTGCTCCATTGGGGAGCTACTCAACGTGTGATGAACATGCTGAGCTCACGCAGCAGAGTGGATTATAAATGACAAAGGAGCAAGGACAGGGGACTAACAGATACACACAGCTCCTCAGAATCCACCTTATAAGTGGTCAATGCCAGCAGTTAGGTTAACAGACATTAACCTTTCCATCCAAGGGTACTGTCCCCAGCTTCATTTCAGGCTGGCAGGGTCACCAACCTTCTCTTCCCAGTGATGAGGCTCAGGAGAAAGGCTGCATGATGTGACCCACCTACCATCCTCTGGGGAATTGTCCTTGAACTGATGAAAGGATGTTGAATTTAGATGGTACAGGAGCAAACCAGAGGCTATGGGAAGCCACAGTAACTACTGAGGAAGAGGTGATAAGCTTCCATCAGCTCCTGTCTCTGAGAAAAGCCAGCCAGCCTTCCTCAAGCTCCTCCTCATCCTCCTCCTTCTACCTGAACATCACTGGGGTAAGTACCTAAACACACAAAGGCACATGCAGAGGTCCAGGCTGGTATCCACAGAGACCCAGCTCTCCACAGCATGGATGGGTTACGAAGGAACAAACCAGCTGTTAGCTAGTGATGCACCCACCAAAACACAAAGAGCAGGGCACTGATGAAGCCTCATGGCCTTCAAACACTCCCTTGTAGAGGTGAGTTTATAACAGTGTTTCCTCCAATACAGTATGTATTCAGCATACTGTAAGCACCTAAGTAAGAAGAAAGGAAGAGACAAACCAATGTGTGGTTGCTCAGTTGGCCCAGGGAATCTGAGCTGTTCCTGGGGTTTCTTTATTTTGCCTGTTTCTTTTTAATTTGCCTTGCTTTTAAGATTAAATGAGTTAGAGGACGCATTTGCGAAGGCCAATTCTCAATATCCACTCTCCAGAATAATCCCTCTGGCTCATTTCCTAATTTGCTTCAAAGGAATGGAAACACTCCCAGTTTTTCCTTTTCCAACCCATTTTCTGTTTGATCCTTCCACTGTAGACAGCACCAATTCCTTATTGACAACTCTGCCCCACAGAGGAACTCAGCACATAGCACTTTGGCACTAGACAGTAGTCTTGTGATCTGTGTAAAATAGCATCCCAGACTGGTTTGGGTTGGAAGGGACCTTAAAGCTCTTCCAGTTCCAACC